GCAGGAAGCAGTGATGGATGAGGATTTGCAGTTTGTGGCTTCCGTCATGGCGGCACGCAGGGGGGACCTGCGCCAGATGCGACGTGGAGCCATCGGGGCCGTCAAGGAGCTGAAGCAGAGATGGAAGCGAGTGGATGATCAGTTGAGGCAATTCCAGGCACCAGCCCTCCAGGCAGTGACAGCACAAAGGGACATTGGCTTGCTGGGCCTGTTGGTGATATTGCTGGCGTGGCCCGACGTGCCCGACGTATCATACCCCCATGGCCTGGTTGTGGGCCTGCCAGCAGTCGGCTATGCCCCCCACTACGGCGTGTTCCCCCAGCAAGACGCGCGGAGGATCACCTTTGAGGAGGTCCTGGATGGGGCAGGCGAGAACAACCGGCTCGTGCTAGCTAGTTTGCGCCCGGGCAAGGATGATGCCTTCTTGCTGGAGCAGTCGCAGAAGGACGCTGATCGGGGGTTTTGCACAGCCCCGATGTCCCTGTCCGGGCTGCAGCGGGAGCTCAAAGGGCAGGAGTTCCGACTCATACCCAGGTGTGTCATCACACAGTCCTCAGGCAAACAGCGAGTGATCGACAACGCAGATACAGGGGGTCAATCCCTCCGTTCATCGGACGCCAATAAATTAGTCCTCTGTTCACCGTTGCGACCAGCCCAGCACATTGCAGCGGTGATGCAACGCATGGATGAGAGCCAACTTCGCTCGGCCCGCGAGGGTGACTCGTGGGAGTCCGGCGGGGAGGATTGGCCAGATGCCTATCGCCACTCTCCTATGAGCAGTGGGAGGCCAGGGGTTGCATCGTTCTTCCCCAGCATCAGGGCTGGGGGGCGCCTGCGTTTCAGCGGTACGCAGGGCTGCTCTTTGGCCTGCCGTTGGCCGTGACCAGTTTCAATCGGTACTCCAGGCTAGCGGAAGCGCTGGCCAGACGACTGTTGGCCCTTCTGGTTTTGTTCTACTTCGACGACGCCCACATCACGGATTGGCGGTCGGCCGGTGGTTCCGGCCAGTGGGCACTGGAAGAGCTGAACCGGCTGTTGGGCACGCCTTTCTCTGAGGACAAGAAGCAGCCTATGGCAGCCCAAGGACTCTTTCTGGGGCTTGACCACGACCTATCTCAGGCGCTGCACGACGGTGTGGTGTCTTTCTGGGCTCGGGAGCGGCTGCACGAGAAGATGTCCGGGATGATCCAGAAGGTCAGGAACGAGGGGAGACTCGCACCTGGCCTCGCGGCCAAGATCTACGGCCTGGCTAACTTCTTGGAGATGGGAGTCTATGGCCGCGTGGGATGCGGCGGATTGGGCTCCATCAAGACGCGGCAGGCTGAGAGATCATCTGAGCTGACTGAGCCTATCAAGGCGAGCCTTGAGTTGCTAGAAGCAGTTTTCGCTACCCAACCACGCCGAGTGCTTCAGGTTTTACCAGTGCCGTGTGAGAGGTTTGTGATAGCTTCGGATGCGGCTCTTGAGAGCCCTCGTCAGGGGACGGGAGGTTTCCTGATGGTGTGGGCCGATGGCTTCGCCGAGCGACGGGAAGCTTTTGTAGCCGACATCCCGCTTGAGCTTTACCAGTTGTGGACTCCGGGGGACCGGAAGATTGCCCAATTGGAGCTGTCCATGGTGTTGTACGCACTCCTCTGCCGACCGGATACATTCCGTAATCGGAGGGGAGTGTGATACATCGATAACACCGCAGCCCTGATGTGTTTAATCCGTGGTAGATCCAGGGAGCCTGATCTGGAACGAATGTCCCACGTGATACACACAGTTTTGTTCGGGCTGAAAGTTTGGATGTATTGGGAGTGGATCCCTTCCAAATCCAACTGGTCTGATGCGATTTCTCGGTTAGGATGGCAGGACCCATAGGCCCGCCAAAATGATTTTTCAATGTCTACTGCTTTCTGTTTCCCCATCATGTGGAAGCTGCCATTTCGTGCCGTGCTCGCGGTGACGAGCATTCTGTAGTGCTTTGGGAGTTGATGAAGTGCATTGGGGAACTTTTAAGGATGTTAGAGGCATCCCAACCGGAGTTGACCGGTGGCCCCCTCTAAGCACAGTCCATGCAGGAGATGCATGGAAATCCAAAGCATTATCCCTCAGGCGATGAGGGTTGTTACAAGCACGGGCAGTGCAGACTATGAATGATGAGAAGGGAAAAAGAATTGGGGTGCGTCGCAGCCTAGCAGTAGGAACGATACGTGACACATTGATGATTAACGTCATATGTTTAGACCTGTTTACTAGATAGATATTTTTCAGAACCAAGCCTGTAAGGCAATGTGAGTTGAAAGCGCCAATGTAAAACCTGTTATTTCATAGTTTGATGAGCTCTGTTTGACTTGACTCATTTGAAAGATTTCATGAGACTTACTCTGATTCGGATGCAGTTGTGAGTGATTTTGTTCTTTGTGCTAGTTTTGATGTTGTTTCCTGAGATGAAGAAATGTTGTTTTGAGAGTGGCCAACACCCAAGTAGTGAATGACATCACTCATTCTGGGAAGAAGCTTTAAGAAGCTCCAGCGTTGCATGGGTTTTGTGTGTGTGTCCCTTCCCAAACCACCAGCGCCCCATTCCCCATTCTTGCGCGCCTTGATGAGCAGCAGCTCCATTCAAATTGGGGCTCTAGATTGTTTGTGAATGAAGTGCCGGAACCTTATTCTGAACCTCAGTCCCAGGGCCGCAGTCAAATCAGAATGACAGGGTAGCACTTATAGCTAAAGTGACGCTCAATTGGACCACGTGGCCCACCTTCCCAGCCAGGAGAGGGCAGGATTCAGCCTTGGGGCAAAAGTCATTAGCATGTTTGTCACACATGTATTCATGCGTGTCAGCCATGCAACAGCACATACTTTTGGCACGAGAACTTCTGCTTTGAGGGTTGAACTTGCAGAACATCGCCATAGGCCCTGGATTGGCCTAATGTGTGCAGTGTGGTTTCATGTTTCAGGCTGCAAGACTCATTTTGTCAGTGTTGGGTGGCCAAAGCTCATTGCAACCCTTCGCCCCTAGCTCTGATGACCAAAGCCCCCTCTCTAACGACAGATGTTATGGGTTTCTTCTTTCCTACGTTTTCCTTTTTCTCTCTGTCGTCGAGAGGCCAAAGTCCCTGATCTTGCAATCCTCCTTGCGCCGCAGAACGTGACGCCAGGGTGTGGACCTGGCTTCGCAGTAAGACCATGTGCTGCCTGCCATAGGGCTGTTGGGCCGGAGCAAGCGGAGTAACTGCGTCTCTGTGGCAACGCTGAATTGATGGAAATGTGTGTGTAGCGGGCCACATGCAAGCAGCTGCTCCTGGAGTTTGTCTTGGGGAGTTGGCCCTTGGACACCCGGCGCCACATCAAGCACACACTTGAACATGCCTTGCCACCCCCGTCCCGATCAGAGGGCTGCGGCCGCAAGAGAGAGAGAGGGAAGAGAGAGAGAGCTTGACCCGAAACACGTCAGTTGCTTAGACGAGTGACCGTGCCCGGTAGAACGGAGTTGCAGCCGACACAGATGCCACAGAAGATGCCTGGCAGATGTGTTGAAGGCAAGGGCAAGTGACAGATGAGATCCTTCTTTGCAACCAAACAGGCGGGTCAGGGTTGCGAGCGTGTAGTCAAAGAAATGAACATCAAAGGAAAGAGAGCGCGCTCGACTGAAGCCAGCTTTCGCTCCCGCGCTTCGGGTTGAATATGTTGAGCCACAGGTGGTATGTTGTTGTTTGATTGTTGGTTTGTCTGTCTGTCTGTCTGTCTGTCTGTCTGTCTGTCTGTCTGTCTGTCTGTCTGTCTGTCTGTTTTTCTGTTTTTCTGTCTTTTTCTTTGGCCGGTTGGTCTGGACGTGTGTTGTGTGTTTGGTTTTGTTTTTTCTGTTTGTTTTTTTGTTTGTGTGTTTTTCCTGTTTCTTCGCTTCTTTGTTCGAATGTGTGTGTGTGTGTGTCTTGCCCGCCCAAGTGTTAGAAACATGTTTGTCAGCAGACTCAGCAAGAAAACAACAGCAGACACGCTGGGGATGCGGATGAGGCTTGCGCAGACCGAGCCGCGCGAAGTGTGCAAACACACCCACAAGCATAAGCGCAACCATGCAGATAGGTGGAACACACAGATACTTACACACAGACACTCACACACGGCGCGAGACACACGAGCAGCCGAGACACAGCCACGCAAAGACAGACGGTCACCGCGGCGCAGCAACACAAACACGCAACCGCACCAAGACCCGAAGCAATAAGCTACGGCACACACACAGAGAGACGCCAGCGCAAACAAAGACACAGCAACACTGCGGCGGAAAGAGCAACGCGACGCAACGACTCAAAGGCGAGGGGCATCAATGCCAGACACAAGCTTTTATCATCTTGTGCGCGATTCGTCACAGATAGGAAGACACAAAGCCACGCGTCGCATGAAGTCACACAGACACACCCGCAGACTGTGACACGCGGGCATCACACGCAAGCAAGATTTCACGCGCACACACATGAACACAGACACTGAAGGACTGACAGGCTGACTGTGAGACTTTCAGACTTAGAAGTCTGACAAACGCGCACACGCACGCACGCGCGTGCACTTGCACGCCCCGCCCACCCGCGAGCACGCGCAGGCACGCCGGCCCACTCCCACGCGCTCGCTTAGCTTTTCGGGAACGAATGTGGGAACGCACCTTTTCAGCCCCGGCCCCCGAACCGCGAACATAGGCCAAAGCAAACACAAGCTGACGCGCTCAAACCCCGGGCTGAATAAGCAGAACAATCAGAAAATGCATCCCAGAGCAGACTTTAATGCTTCCCGCGATGCAAGTGTGCAAGGGTGACCCCCTCCCCTGGCAGGAGGCGTCGGCAAATGGGGCTTTTACACAGAACTAGCAGCAAAACTCAACACACGCTCAGTTGTTGGCACTCCCTTCCGTTTCTTGAAAGGAACCCCTCCGGAAATGCTTTTTTGATCAAGCGTAGATAAACCATCTACACGCGCGATGACCGTCGCCAGGTTTTTGATTTTAGTCTCAGCGACAGGTGCTCTCTCGGCTCCAGCAGTACCTTGGCCACGAGTGCCAGGCCCGGAACATGTTCCGCACGCCGCAATCTGCAGGATCTTTGAACAACCTACCAATCATGTGAACCTCGTACTCTACTGTATGTCTATGTCTTTTCCTGCAGGGAGGCAGGAGAAGTTCGTTCAAACGATTCCTTACTTTCGATAGCTGACTGTGAGCACGCGTTTGTGTGTGGATGCATAATGCTCCTGGCTTTGCGCGCGAGGCAGTCGTCTTGGCTCTATGACGCGCCGTGTTGCTGTCTAGTCATCTTGCGCTCACGCATGCTGGCGCGTGTAGGCGGCTTGGCCAGGACATGGGCGGCGCAGCTGCGTTATTCGCACGACGCGCCACTTGCTACTGTTCGCGCAGCTATCGCGCAACGGTACAACGTCGCTTTAATTCTAACCAGCTGTTCGCGCAAAAGAGACCTCACCCTCAGCGTTCGGCGACGGCCCTTTAGCAGCGCGACAAGCGCAGCGCAAATAACGCATTCCGTCTAGCCAGTAGGAGTCCCGCAACTCACCAGCCCGTCGCTGGGCAACAAGGCTTCCAGCTTTTTCCTTGCCTTCCGTCAGAAAACCTGTTGAAAGGGGACCTATAACATGCCCGTCGCACCAACCTTGCAGCGGACCAGGAAGATGTCAACGCCTTGGTCTCTGCTGCAGATCTCCTGCAGGAGACAGAGGGGATGCTGACAGGCGCTGCAGCGCACGGGGGCCTCAAGGCAACAAGCGCACACACCTGTTTTCCCGCGGGCTGCTCCGCAAGAAGTTTCAGTGCCAGATTCAAACATGCTTTTGGTTGGATTCGACACTTAGATCGTGCAATGCTTACACGTAGCTTGTTGGGACTTGCAGGAATAACCGTAGTGCTGCGCGCCAGCCGGGCGCAGGCTGACAGCATAGAGTTGAATTTTCCATGCGCTTTCACTTGAGACTTACACGGTTTTTCACGAGGTGTCTGCATTCTGAATGAGTTGTGTGATCGCTCCAGGAGAGCCAGGCGCTGACAGCCCCATGCCAAGGCCGTTTCCTTTGGCTCTAGAGCGAAAAAGAGTTGGAGCTGACGCCCACGTGTCAAGCACTCACAGCTTTCAACCGTGCTTTCAGGCTGATACCAGTTGCAAGAAGTGTTTACTCAGTGAGGTGTGTCTCAAAAAGCAGCATCCGCGCATGCACATACTTAGCATAGTATCAGCCAAAACGTTTACTATTTTCATTCGGGTCGCGAAATCCGAGCTGAGAAACAATTGCTCGACTGCTAGACAGTGAAACGCTCAAGGGCGCCCCGAGTGTTTCTTGCTGTGTTCATTTGGCCTGATGGCTGGCCCCTTGCATATCCAGCAGCAAACGGCAAACAGCACAAACTCGCATGCTTTGTTCTTGCCGCGCTGAAGCCAGGCGTTTGCCAGAGCCTTGCTTCTGCGCCCGCGGCCGGGCCTAGAACAGAGCTGAGGGGAACAGGTGACGCAGTTGCAGTGACGAGCCATGCTAAATCGACAGCATGTTGACTTTTTTGGTGTTTTGCTTGAATGAAGCTTTGCAGAACTCTCACCACTTGCGTGTTCAGTTACACATATAGGAAGCCACTTGAGTTTGCCAAGACAAGACTCAGTGGCTGTTGGCAGCTTTCTGCACACATATCACTCACATTGGCCGGCCACGCAGGTGAAGCGGCTGATTGCCATTCTTCATCAAGGCGCAGCGTGTTTTGATCCGTTTCCCGGAAGCATGGCGAAAGGTTTCCCCGGTAAAGTTGTTACCGTTACCGAGCAGCAAGATACACAAGAGGACTTTCAGAGCAAGATGCGCGCAGCAAGAGCGCGCAGAGAGGGAGCTAGGCAGCCAAGAAGTGTACGGGTAATAGTTAGCGCAGCTGAAAGCAAAACTCAGCATCGCGGACGCTTGCGGAAGCACTTGCGTAGGTTTATTCCTGCGCCTCGGCGGGCCACGCGAGCGCAAGAAGCGTGGCCCGCGCAAGCGGTTCCGCCATCCGTACAAAAAGTCACGTAGTCCGTACAAAAAGTCATATAGTTCGACGCATTTCAACGCTTTTCGACGCACGTCGACGCTTTTTCCGGTTTTGGCCCAAGAGCGCGCGCGGCAAATTGCGCGCGGGAACTCGCAGGCAGCAAGCTGCGCGACAGAGCACGCGCAGCAAGCTGCGCCAGAAACCGCGCCAGCAAAAATGCACGAGAGGACACGCGCAGCTTTGCGGAGAGGTGCAAAAGCTCAAGGCTTTTGCTAGTGTTGACTTGCGCCCCCCCCTTTTCTGCGTGGACCGACAGAGAAATTTGCGCCGAGAACTTGCGAGAATAGCTTGCGTAGAGTGCAAGTTGCACAGGAGCAACTTGCATCGAGAACTTGCGCGCAGAAGCTTGGGCAGCTTGCGCTGGGAGCTTGCAGAGCAAACTGGCGCCGAGAGACTTGCGTGGAGATCTGGCGCACGGTGGCTTGCAAAGAGAGTCTCGTACCTACGACACGCATGCTGCTCCGAAATGCCCTGATGATTCTTTTTGTTGGTAGGGCGCCGGCGGCTGTGGCGGCATGCTTAGTTCTGCTGTTCAAACGACAAGCGCCGGCGTGAAAAAGGTGATGTCTGCAGCAAGTCGCGAAAACTTATGAACGCTGAAATGCCTTAAATCAACGCTCACACTATGTTTCGGTTTAGAGCCTCCCGTTGCTCTAGTTTTTGGACGTGCCGGCAAGTCATGCTGTAAACGGGTATTTCTGGACCAGTCGTGCCTATGGTGGCACATCTTGTTCGCACGAGAATCGTCCTTATCAGCTTGCCGGCACCTTGGAGGGAGAATGTGATCGATTATTGTGCTTGCCGCAATGCGTTGTTCGAGTCAAACGTGGCATGAACAGTTGTTAAAATATCTAGACAAGTCTACAGCCTCGTCTGATAAGTGTCAGAAGCTGCCTGTGCCAGGGGTGCCGCCTGGGCGCTTCAAAGATCCAATCCTGGAGCCGGTCGGGGGGGAGAGGTTTTAGGGTCAGGGGCCATTCTGCAAGCGCAAGTTGAGTTTGTTAGTGAGCTGGGTTGCTTGGCATGACCACGTCCAGAACCCTTCAGTTCACCGTCGGCTGGTGGATCGCGCTTGGCTGCTGGGATAGTGTCGTACTTATAACTTGAGTTATGAGTTACTACAAGTGGACTTATAACGTGGGACAATTGGACTTATAAGTTTGCTAAGTCCGAGTCCTAGTTATAAGTTACTTGTCTAGGGTTAACTTAGATAGGCCCACTTATAAGTTCGAGCTAAGTTCCGGGTGCCGGGACTTAGAATGAACTTAGCTGGAATTTATTTTTTTGCACCATTTTAAGCAAAACGGCTTTTTGGCATCCAGCGTTTGCGGAGCAATGCCCAACACGAGTTTGCCTCGCTGAGTCTTGACGCGCGTCCTCATGCGAAAGAAGCACGCGCGCTTTACTCCTGACGTGTCGCAAAAGCACATCGCTGAACGCGAGTCCAAATCTTACACCGGGCGATGCGTGCGTATATTTTTTCGAATACGACAGGTCGGCATATCGCAGCGGCTGGTCGGCTCAGACTGCACTCGCGGCTGGCCCGCGCAGACTGGTGCGCTCAGACTGCACTCGCGGCTGGCCCGCGCAGACACCCAGCGGCTGGTCCGCTCAGACTGCACTCGCGGCTGGCCCGCGCAGACGCTCTGCACTCGCGGCTAGCCCGCGCAGACTCACATCGCGGCGGGCCCGGTCATGTAGCGGCGGGCCCGCTCAGACTGCACTCGCGGCTGGCACGCGAAGATCCAGCGGCGGGTCCGCTCGAACTGCAGTCAGACTCCAGATACAGACTCCAGACTCCACACTCCAGACTCCAGACTGCAGACTCCAGACTGCAGACTCCAGACTGCGAACTCCAGACTGCAGACTGCCAACTCCAGAATCCAGACTGCAGAGTCCAGACTGCAGACTCCAGACTGCAGACTCCAGACTGCAAGCTCCAGACTCCAGACTGCAGACTCCAGACTCCAGACTGCCAACTCCAGAATCCAGACTGCAGACTCCAGATTCCAGACCGCCAACTCCAGACTGCACACTGCAGACTGCAGACCCCAGACCGCAGGCTCCAGACTGCAAACTCCAGACTCCAGACTGCCAACTCTCCAGAAAAAAAGACTGCAGAGTGCAGACTGCAGTCCAGACTGCAAGCTCCAGACTCCAGACTGCAGACTCCAGACTCCAGACTGCAGACTCCAGACTGCAGAGCCCAGACTGCAGACTGCGGACTTCGGACTGCAGACTCCAGACTCACACTCCAGACTGCAAACTCCAGACTCCAGACTGCAGACTCCAGACTGCAGACTCCAGACTGCAGACTCCGGACTGCACACTCCAGACTCCACACTGCCAACTCCAGAATCCAGACTGCAGACTCGAGATTCCAGATTCCAGACTCCAGACTCCACAATGACTCCTGACTCCAGGATCCTGATCATTTTCTGGTGGAACTCGGCCACGGGGCCAAGTTAAGTTATGTTAAATCGTGGTGACGCAACTGGGCCTCACGGGGAAAGTTTGGCAGTTAAGTTGACTGAGTTACAATAGGGACTCCACGGCTCCACACGACCCGCCCAGGTTAAGCTAAGTTAAGTTTTGTTAAGTTCGAAAAAACTGCACCGGCCTTTCCGGGCTTTGGGGCGGGGCTGTCTGGGCGCTGGATTCTGCAGTCTGGAGTCTGCAGTCTGGAGTCTGCAGTCTGGAGCCTGCAGTTTGGCGTCTGGAGTTTGCATTCTGGAGCCTGGGGTCTGCAGTCTAGAGTTTGCAGTCTGAAGTCTGGAGTCTGCAGTCTGGAATCTGGAGTTCGCAGTCCGGAGTCTGCAGTCTGGAGTGTGGAGTTTGCAGTCAGCAGTCTGGATTCTGGAGCCTGGATTGAGTCTTGCAGCCTTTCATCCGCGCACTCACAATCAAACATGCAAAAAATCGCAAAGTGCCATCAGACCAGCGCTTCAAGTGCCATCTCGAAATAAAAATCAACGCCGAAAAGTTCCTGGGCGGACCAGCCGCCAGCGGACAACCGCTTCAAGTGCCATCTCGAAATGAAAATGAACGTGGCAAAAATAGCTTGGCGGACCGGCCGCCAGCGGAACCACCGCTACAATGATATATCGTCAAACGAGAAAAGCAAAACGGGCGGACCGGCCGCCGGCGGAGAAACCGCCCCGTGCGACTATATTAAGGCGGACCGGCCGCCAGCGGAGACACCGCTATAGAAACGATTATCGCAAAACAAAATTCAACCGAGTCAATCAGTGCAAAAAATGCCACGGCTCCATCGAGCCAAGCGTGCGAAGCAGCGCGAACAAACAGCGTAAACTGCATGTGCGCGCGCCTGCCCTGCTGCGTTGAATCGCACGAAAATGTGTGCTTTCCAGCGCGTAATGCTTCATCACTGCCATGCTTCAAAACGTGTGTTTGCCAACTCAATGCACTTAGAATGAACTTAGCGGACTTAGAAAAACCTCTTTCTAAGTTCAAGATAAGTTACTTATAAGTCCAAGCTAAGTGCTAAGTCACTTATAACTCCAGCGTAAGTACGACCCTATCCCAGTGTGTGTGGAAATTTTGCTCGCTACGCTGGAGAGTAGAGTGGGTGCGGCCCGTCTGATCAAGGTTGGATCTCCAGACTTTGTGACCGACTCGGGGTCTCAGCGTGTCTTAGCTGAGATCAGTGGGTTCCAGCAACGAACTTGGTTCTGCCAGTCATGAAACAGATTGATCCCTGCTAGCAAACCAGGGCTGTAGCTCGCTAGCCGATTGGTTGCTGTGTTTCGTGTTCTGCAAGCCACTGCAAGCCGCGCAAGTCCTTGGCCATTGGGCAAAGCAGTTTGAGGTGCCGCTTGACAACTGTATTCTGGTTACCCGCGCAACAATTCACCCAATGTTGTGCCTGACCCAGTGTTTTTGCCGCGCCGAAGCGGTAGTGGTGTTTCCACAACTGAATGTTATTTGCAGGCGCGACGAAAACTGATGAAACATTGATACTGTAGCCAGGAGCGGCAGCAGTCTTTGGGGGTCGCGACCCAGCACGCTCTGCAGGCGCGGAAGAGCACGGGAGGCGATTGGACAAAGGCCTGGGTCAAAGTCACAACGGACGAAGTCCTTCCCTACAAAGGCGGCTCTAAGCTGGGTCTTGCAGAACGAGGCGTAGGCGAATTGAAAGTCCAGTCATGTGTGTATTCCTGGCATTGAACTTTCCGGAATGGCCTCAAGTTTGATGCTTTGCTGCCTGGGAAGGCATATCACTTAGCACAGTGGTTGTCATGCAAGTAAGCTGGGTGTAAAGCCTAGTGTGACTGCTGCCTTCGTGGTGGCTACGCGGGCTGCGTAGTCGGGAGATTGCAGAGCAGGTTCTGCTTCCCTGCGCTGTCTGGAGTGAGTACCTGTGCGCACGTACCGCGTGGAGACATTTGTTCTCAGCGGCGCAACTCAACTTTGGAAGCAACTGTTAGCGCGCAGGAGCGGGTGTTGAAAGATGCAAGGAGTGTAGGGCTGTTGTTGGCCAAGTCCAATCGCGCAGCCTGCAAGCGCAGAGCGGAACGTATTCGGAAACGCGTTTGGATTGCAGGCGTTGCAGGCCCAGCTCAAGCCAGCGTAGCCCGAATGCTGCGGCGGAGCGCTGAATTGCGCACTGCGCCGCCGCAATGCATGAACGGCAAGTGTGGGACGCATTGCGTGAAGGAGTATGTTTCTGGCGCTAGCTGTCCTCAAGGCTGGCAGCCCTGAACGGCGCACAGGTGCCATTTGGTTGCTGGACGAGTCAGTCTTCTCGCTTTGCGCGCCTTGATGAAGATTGCTGTGTCTCCGTCCGGCGGTTGAACTTCCAGTAACATGGAAGACTTTGTTGTTCCCGTCGGTTGCTCCTTCGTGCTACGAAAGGCTCAGCGCAGTATGCCCGAGAACCGACCAAGTGGCCTTGAGAACGCGTTTGTTGGCGCATTGTGCATAGGGCTTTGAATGTCTTTCAATATTTTCTTCTGTTCTTGGTTTTCTTCAGCAACTTACAAGCCGCTGCATTTTCCAAAGCCAAAGCCTTAGATGCCAGTTTGGCCTCTGCCCGGAACCGACCACCAGCTAGCGCAACATAAGACTGAATGCTTTGGGTGTTGTTCTGGTGTCCGTGAGTCACAGAGTTGCATGGTGTGGTCCAGGGTCCATTTTGTCAACGAAAGATGGGGTATTTGCTTCTGCTAGCTTCCTCAAATAAATCCGCAGGTTTCCACCCAGCCAGCTGCCAGCTGAAGTTAGTCAGCTGAAGCCGCAAGCTGACCGTAAGTGCGGCTTATCTGAGCTTAGATAGCTCCCCTGCGCATAGCAAGTGCATCAGGAGCTCCGATTCCGCTCTCGCGGCGGCTGCTGGGCCTGGCTCTTGTTTCGGCTGTTCCGAGAGTGCTGGGCACGAGGGGCTTGAGCAAGCAGTGGAAGCAAAACCAAAGAACATTGAATAATAATGAAAAGCAATGTCTTGCCATTATGCAACTTGGTCCTGGTGCCTCGTTTGCAATGGGAGGTCTGGAATAGGAAGACCCGGGCAGGCTCAAGACGTCGGTGACCCCCAGCTTGGAGGGGCCACCTCGCAGAGCCGAGGTGTTTGAAGCTCAGCCAGTACAACCGTTTCATACGGAGGTGTGTGCTGTGATTTCTGTTTTCCGTTTTGCTTTTGCTGGACATTCCATTTGCGTTGTTTGGTGACACTCACGGCAGGCAAGGCCTTTTGTTCAAACGGCACTGGCACGCCGTCAGGCTCGACGTGTTGAGCTTTGTGCTTGGAAGCCGGCTGGCTGTTCCCTCAAACAGCAAACCGCCAAAATGGTTGAAGCTGCCGGTCAGTCAGCGAAGTGCCGAAACGGCCCGTTTTGACCTCACTCGAACGGCACATTTGTTCACGGAGCTGGAACGGGTTGCGTGTAGCATTTGTTTTGGGAGTGGTTATTTTTGACACACTTCTAATAGTTCATCCCGCAAGAGTCTTGGGGCCTCCGTCCTTACGAGCGTAGCTTTCTCCTTTTTCAGCCCTGCTGTCGCCGCTAGCACAGCCGTGCCTGCCACGCAGAAGCGGCCGCCGAACCCCATCCCTACAAGAGCTCCAGGATCACCTAGATTTTCACCCTAATGCTGGCCACGTCGAGGGACGTTTGGCCAGCCTGCTTAGCAGCAACGCAACCCAGCACACAGGTCCTGTCCTTTTGTAAACACTCTCCTTGCTGCGCCGCGAGCGCATTTCTTCCTGCGAGCGCGTTTCTTCCTGCGAGTGTGTTCTTCCGTTTCTTCGCGCGAGCGCGTTGCGGCAAAGAGACCTTCCTTTGAACCCCATACGGTTCACATCGCCTGGACAGAATTTGTCGTACCACCTTGCTGCTTTTGTGCCAACCAAGCCCGCTTTGCTAGAAAGGACGGCATGTAGCGGCTTTCCCGAAATGCAAGAATTAAACTGGCAGTTCAAATTGGTTGGCCGACAGTTCAGATGGTTGGCCAACAGCTCTTTGGCAGCCCATGGCAAGTTGGCGCGAAGTCTGACATTGATCTGCAAATTGTCGCAAACTAGATTGGGGCAAGTGGTGCCAGCCAATTAATTCATCATAAGCACATATACCTCGCAGGTGGGTTGCGGCTCAGAGTGAACACCTCCCACATGGTTATATTCAGCACAGGCTCACACAAGGCATGGCTTTTTAGCGAGGCATTTTTGTTGCAGAGCTGGAGACCAGGCTACAAGGCATAATAGCTGCTGAACATTGTGCTGCGTTGCTCTCCGAGAAAAAGGTAAATAGATTGATAAGTGAAAACACACGATGCAATTGAACGCCTAAGACCAGAGCTTAATTCTCAGTGGGGTGATGCCACGCGGCTTCACAGTTCACAGGCCCAGGCCCCCAGCAAAGGAAATTAGCTTGCTAGGATTTTTATTCACTTCTGCGCCCATTCGCTATGTCGCTACGTGACTAGCGGTGGCCTGCAGCAGACAGCTCAGTTGAACGCAGACAGGTTACCACTCGTTTGGCGCTATCACTGCTTCTTCCACCTTCTTCTCCTCCTTATCCTTGTCCTTTTGCTTCTCGTTCTCGCCATCCGAATCCTTTGGCTTCTGCTCGGCGAACGCTGTGCGCTCTTCCTGGGCAGCTGCACAATCGGCAATAGCTTGGCAGCCTGGCGTGGAGGCCCAGTCCAGCTCAGGCAGCTCGGCAGTAGCCTGAACAGTTTCTCAGCAGTCCACCTTTCTGGCGGTGTTGGAGCGGGCCTGAATGGCGGATCTGGAAGTCCTCGCGCGCGCCCCCTCTTGAGCTGCGGATGCCAGCCTGCAGGGGAATGCAAAAACAACCGGCAAGAAATGCAAAGCAATTGAAGCCCTAATGGAATCGTCGTCTCATCATCTGGAACTTCATCATCCGTGCAGTGAAGCGTTTCTTCTGGTTCTTCGTGTACTTGTTCTTCTTCATCCGATTCTGGGGGGTGGAATTCGAATGCGTTCTTCTGCGGATATGTCCACTTCTTCTTGCGCATCTTGCACCTCCTCATTGTCCAAATCCAGCTTCTCCTCATCTGTATCTGGAGGATTCAAGCAAATGTTTCATGGTTCTTCGCCAAGTGTGTATGAGTGAACTCAGAGAGTTTGTCGTGGGGAACGCTAGAAACGGTACACCTCATCGCCAAGAAGGTGAAAAATTCGAGCCTGTTGATTTGAGGGAAAGCCTTGCTATGAATCATGGTCTTGAAAGGTGGATGTGAATCAACATCTGGAAGGGTACCTGTCACGACAGATTTGATGAGCTTGTTGGCCATCGCAGAGCCCTTCCTTCGTCAGGCAATCTGCTAGACAATGTTCTGAAAGTGCGTGCGCGAGGTCATGCGTGTGGCCACTGTCGCTCTCCTTACGCAGCAGTTGAATGAGGCGCGTGTTGCCCTTTGTTCGGGTTGATGAGCAGGCATTCGCAATCAAATTGCTGCGTCAGTTCCTAATGCGCACGTCTGCCAGTTCGCCAGAGGGAAAAAAGACATGCGCCAAAACAACGAACGCATCAATCCGTGCAACTCTGCCACAGCGGTGGACATGGTTGCAGTGGTTTTGTGGGTGGGTTTTTCGACGGGGGTCCTCTGGAATCGAGGCTTTCTGAAGATCTTGTTCTTGCGAAAGGCAGAATCACGTGCGCGCGCTGTGTTCCCGCAGGATGCGTCAGGGTATCCGATTCATCTAGTCTTGCCCTTAAAGGGCCAGAATATTTATGGCCCGGACCGTCAGGCCTGACTTGTTGTTCAAGCCGTTCTTGAACACAACCGCTCTCAAGTTGGCAGCCGGGCTCTTGTGGGCTGGTGACTTCACCCTTAGTGGGACGGGCGTGGTTCCCGGGCAGTTTCGCGCAGTGTCGTTTTTTGGTCAGCGCGCGCCGCTCAGAACATCCGGCTTGTCGGGCTTCCTTTGTCTCTGCCGGAGACTGCCTGCCCTTGACGGCGTCCCCCGTCAACTCTGAGTCATAACACGTGGGCGTTGACCAAGCCTGGCAACAAGTGGCCCTCTTTCCGAAAAAGCGGTGCACAAAGTCAGTGACGCTGCGACTGTCTCAGCAGTTCACCCTTTGGCTAGCCTTGTCCTTACACACTACGAGTATTTATCTTACTGTAGTCAATCATTTCATTGCTGTTTTGGGTAGCCATGTGATGGTTGAGACATGGCAGGCGGCGGGCGCTTCCAACTGCCCCATCTTCAGGCAAATTGGAGACGCTGCTCAGCCTGACTACCAACTTTTTGTCTGTCTACAAGCGGAATGGGACAGCAGTGCTGGCGCACCTGCGCACTTAAAACCTGTTGTGAGGAATCGTAGCTTGCTATTATTGAATCAGCAGTCAGGTGGGCTGCTGGCTCCCCGCCTGCTGCCAAGAACTTCGGCTCGTGAACTGGTAGACTGTTATTGGTGTATTGTGATTCTTGCTGCTCCCAGTCTTTGTCAATGATGGGGTATGATTGAACAACTCAAAGAAAGGCAGGGTAGCAAAAAGGATGAATTACTTCTTGGCGTTGGAGTCTGTTTCTGGGCTTGCGCTGGGGCCTCATTTCGGCGCCGTCTTCTGGACTCGGATAGACGGGCACGGCTACGATTGTCCTTGGCAGCGATTAAAGCATCGCAAATCACCAGCAGGCCACAGGCAAAGAGGTGGTGACCTCGTAGCCATCCGGGAAGAGTCAACTGGTTGAACAATGTGTCAAAGCCACCCAGGAAGAGAGAGCTGCCGCATCCTGGCCCATGCTGGTCAAGATCAATTTCGGGCACAGTTCTGCCAGAGCTTGTGGCGAACACCATCCCCAATGAATGGCCAGTGTCTTGCAGGATTGACACCGAATATGACAATGATGGCTGTAAGCAGTGTGCGCTACTGTTTAAGCGCCCATGTGTCCTGCCCAAAGACAAGAAACGACAAAATTTAAATCAACTGCGCCAAAAACTACAACAAGCCATTTGGGTAAGCCGTTCTTGACCTCAAAGGTCCTATGGTGTGGCGCCAACAACACGGTTTGTAAAATCCAAGTCAGGAACCACGGCTGCCCATCATAACGCGTTTGACCATGATTATCTCATAGATCCAGTCAACGCTAATCACAGACTGGTCCATGAAGTCATGACTCTCCATGTTGATCTGCAACCCGTTTGGCCGTGAAAACTGGCCAGGCCAAACAAATTTTCGAGGTCGAGAGCGGTAGGACGACCTCCCAAACGCGACCGAACACTACTTTGAAACATAAGCCGGTTCTGGCGAGTGAGCCCAAGCCACCGACAAACAATAATGTGTCCTTTCAAAATTAACTATTCGCGCCAAGCTCATGTAGGCCAAGTTGTTTGGCATTTCAAAGTATGACATCCTCCCCGGGCGCCGGTGCCAGCTGAGTTCTGCCTCCCCTGGTGCGAAGACAAAGTCGATGCCATGCGGCATGCTTCAGCCCGTTGCGGCCTTTCCGGGTTTTGGGGACCGACTCAGCTGAGCCACATGCAGACGGCATGGAGGGCGACAATGGTGACGAGAAGCAAAAAAACAAGCTAAAGCGTGCCAGGAAATGGCCCTCAGCCAAGACAAAGAAACCCACCCGCAAAAATGACCAAAGAAATCCTCCAAGACCCCCCTCCAAGAAAGAGAAGAACCAGTAAGGAATTCCACCACTTCAAGATTACCAGTTCGTGCGTGGTTGCTTTCTGTTTCTTAAACACGCTAGAACAAAGTCACTTGCTTGGGTGGTGAATAGTGGGTCAAGTTGACTGGCTTTCCACTAAGTTCCCTGGTCATCTCGCGCCTTGGTCCGAGTCTTGCCTTGCCCCATCTCTTAGCTCAGAACCTTGTGACGAATGCTCCGTGAGGTTTTGGGTTGGTCCGGCAAAAAGAGCAGAGGCAGGCTTGTGGAGCACGATGATATGTCGCCATGGCCAACTTTTGAGCATGATGATAGTTTGCAGATATTGCACTGACACACCTGCTCCAGATCAGCTTTGCAACGCCACTTTGCGCGCCGCACTTCTGCAGTTGCATGTGTTGGTTGCGTGGCATTGGCCGGGAAAGGCGTGGATTGACTTTGCTGGAGCCCTAGGAAGCAAGGATCTCCTTTGCGTCTTCGCAGATGTTCTTTGATATGAATAGGTAACTGAACACTCATTGACATTGCGGAGCCTGAGCTAAATCACGAACGGTTGATCCACGCGCCCACCGGCTCTGGAAAGGCTTCGCCAGTGGTCTGCTTGCAAAAAAACATCCCAAAAACAGCTCGACTGCTTCAGAGCGCCAAACGTTGCTTCAGCCGAAACCTGAGGAGAAGGCCAATCCAGCCTGGACTAGGGCCAGTTCGGGAGATGCTTCACAGCGCCAAACTCCGAAAACGGTGCCCGAAAATAATTTCCAGACAAATTTTCAGAAGAAGGCAGTCTCCTCTGACTCCCAGAAATCGAAATATGTAAACCATTCAACGGGTTTGAGGCCTACATATTCTGAAAAAGAAATAGTGTAGATCACCTGGCCCTGATTTACAGGCCTAAATGTTCTATTTTGGCTTAAAATCCGGGTCCTGCTTGTAATCTGGTTTGTAGACTAAGGCCGCCGACCCCAGCATGAAGCAGGGGGTGGGCACCCAGGATCTGAGCCCGATTCGTGGAGTCTTTGCGTAAAACATCACGATCGCAATCAGGGTGTGGTCGTTTAAGGAGACAGATCCGTTCAACAGGTTCGCAGACGCCTGCATGGCCGAGATCTCTAGGTATTGCCAGGAGTGCGTGCTCAGCCACGAGGCGAACCCCGACTAATTCACGACATGACGACGGAGTTCATGGCCTCCAATGCTTCAAACTATGGGGCCAGATTAGAGATCGAACAAATCCATGCCGAACAAGAGAACACATTCAAGACGAACCTGCGTGACACCGGGAAGTCAAAGAGCAAGCCCACGCAGAAGCCTACATCCACATGCCTAACACTGCAGACACAGTAACCGTAACCGTATCAGCCGGAGGGCAACTCAAGTCCACGGCCAGCATACTGGCGCACGCGACAGACATTGACGACTCCTGGTGCCAAACGTGCAAGAACAGAAGGATCCACAACCACTTCGTCGACGTGACTGACTACGTCATGACCATGCAGGACTTTCCATTCCATTAGTTCACAACAAGTATAGCAAGAACTCCCATGTACAGATTCGATGAGAACGAGGAGTGTTTCAATGAATTCACTTGCAAGATTGATCGGTTACTTGGAATGCGCCGTTGAAGAAACGGGAGAGCGCAATCCAACCAGGCACGCTTCACAATTGCTGATTTGATCATGTTTGGCTTGCAAGTAAACCAAACACCACCTTCTTACATACTTGGTCATGTACTTCTACCCTACATATTTGTTCTTCATCGGAATAGATCCATTTGCTGGAATTACAGGTACATATACGGGCCCAGTGCACTCTCCAGGCAAGCGCCACATGCACTGTGCTTGAACACTTCTTCCGCCACAAGACACCGGTGACTGATGTGCGCTACAAGGACGGCTTGTGGATGTTTGATGAGTACGAGATGCTGCGGCCGATGAAGGGGAAGCTGAACAAGGTTAAGCTTGACGAGCTGCGCACTCTCCATGACCAAATGTTGCAGGTGAGCGGGGCCCTGGATGTGTGGGGCGGTCTTGCCGCTGGCCACGGTGCCTAGTGCAATTTTCCAATAATGCCCCAGCGCAGCCTCCAGGCAAGGATGGGAGGAACGACTTGGGCCCCCCCCATGTCAGTCCTCACTTGCCCTTCCCGGCAAGACCTTGCCTGCCGCTTCGGCTGCTGTCGCGGCTGCAGTCGGCTTCGGCTGTCAGCGCTGCAAGTTCTGCTCCGCGAGGCCCTGCTGCTGTCACGGCTAGGCTCAGAGCTACTCACAGCTGAAGGACTGCCGGTTGCTTTTGGGAAAGCTGCCAGTTGCAGCGGCTTGTCGTGTAGAGCTGCCGCAACGCGGGGCCTGTGGCGCAAAGCGGGCGCGGCGAACTTTTTGTTCCGCTCGCGAGGCCCAAAAAACCTGCTTTGTGAGACTTGCGCATGTTTTCGTTCAGACAGTTCGAAACAAACTTGATTAGCTACGATCCTTGTGCGGCGTGCGATTCGATTACTACACCTTTAAAAAAGGGGTCACAGATACATTCAGTCAGACAAAATTTGAAAACCCATTCGGCGCTGGTTTGGGTTTTCTGGGTGCGCCCACCAGGTGCCGCAAGCGCAGCGCGCCCTGCGTACAGCCTGCGGCGCCGCTGCAAAGCTGAAGGCGCGCGGCTTGGCCACACGGCTGGGGGCCGGGGAAATGATGACACGGGCCTTGGGCATTCAAGGGTCCCAAAGCTGTTTGCAGAAAAAAGCTGGATTACTTCAACCTGAAAGGCGGTTCGCCTGGGACTGATCCATAGGGATTAATCCCAGGAATTTTGGGTGTCTTTCAGTTCATCCAAGCTTGACACGTTTTTTGTGGCTCTGACATGAGGCCCTCTGGTCAATCCGTATCCTCTGGTCACAAGGCATGAAGGTTTGTGTCGGGCAGCTTCAGCCTTGAGATAGGCAAAGCGCGCTTGTTGTTTGTGTTTCAGAAGTGTTTGCAGACTGGCTCGCGCACGAAGTGGTTTTGGGCTACATTCGCTTCAAGATAAGCGCACTTGCAGCTGAAGCATTGCGGCGCCAGTTTGTAAAGTCCCGCCGGACCTGATGTGCCTGGAGCAACACGCGTGCATTGCATGAGCCATCCCGATTGCTTTTCACGCATGCCTGACACCCACACACGCGTCGCTCTTTCTAGATGTGCGTCGCACGCCGGCTTGATTGACGTTGCGCCCAAGTTGCACTCACGTTTTGCGTGGCTCAGCCAGGGTCTGCTTTAGTGAGGCCTCAGCGCAGTTGGCCTGGACCCAGGCAGGCGCTTTTGCAGCCGACGTAACTTGGTCGAAGTGGGAAGGAGTGAAAGGCAGGCGCATTGGCAGCCTTGGCTTTCTCAAGGGCGCGCAGCAACAGCTATGAGGAACATCAAAAACCTTTGTTTAGCTCTAGTGCAGAACAGTGGATCTTTTGAGAGCATGTCCTTGGCAGAGTTCTCGGAGGGGAACTCTTTTGCAATTGAGAGTTCCATTCTGCGTGCCTCAAGTTCTGACGGTCTCGCTCGGATGATTGCAGCGCTGCAAGGCAGTAAATTGCAGGCATTGTTTGCTTGTCATTTTTACGAGAGTGACCGGAACTTGCTTAGTTTTTTGCGCGTGCGACTGCTCGGTTAGTTTGTGTTTTGGTCAAGTGCTACGGAACTACAGTTTTTGCAGGTACCATCAGGAACAGCTGCCGTTTCTTTCTCAAACAGTGCAAGCAAACGGGTCCAGGAGATTGGACTTATCGCGTAGTACATGGGTAGTTGTGGCCAGTCACACAACTGGAGAAGATGTGACGGACACTGCTGCGTGTGACAACAAGCAGCGCTTATTGCTTCCAGCCATGGTTAGTAGCCCGGCTAGAAACGGTGGAAGAAGTTGGAGCATGGTTGCAGTCGACGCGCTTGCAGTAATAGAATTTACTTAGGGCCCCGGCCATCTCTAACCTATCGGTTGAGAGAACAACACCTGCGGTTTTTGTTCGTTTCCTTCCCCGGCTTAAATGTGCTTGGGCGACGCATGGTATGCGGCACCGGCGTGGAGGCTGGAAGGAAACTAGTTTGAGGTGTGGAAAGCAGGGGAGGAGGCGCATGTTCATTCACTGGGGGTGGTGTCAAGGATGTTGTTGGTACAACTTGAGATGCCCATGTGTGAGATTGACTGGGTGTGAGCAACACGCAAGCAAGACTAAAACATAGATGCCACTCAATATGGAGCGGGGCTGCTATCGCCTTGTCAATCAGAAGGTAAATCACTGGGCGGGCATGTGTGAATGCAATGTGATAATCCCAAGCTGCGCATGGGCGATGCAAGGAAGGTCGAACTTTTCCTTCTTCTGGTATACTTTGCAAGGCGACGAGAGCCTTACTCCCATCAGATCCTGTCAGCAAGAAGGCATATGACACAAAGCCGCACGCCTTCCTCTTGCTGGAAAATATCCTAACTTGCCCCATTGATTGCAAGGGCCCCGAGTCTCCAATGACGTAACGTATTGATAGTGTGCATTCCGGGAAATATATGGGATTTAGTTGGTTGGCTACTCAGGTTGAGCGGGCTTGTTGAACATCTTCCTGATGTAAATGTCTTGCGTTCTCCCAAAAAGACATGAAGGGTTCTTCCTGAAAATCTGCCTGCAAACTCGCACGAGCACACCCGCGTTGTGGTTTTGTTAGGCTATACAGACATGTGGGGGTGTCCAACCCTCTAATCTACTTTTGACTTGCGCGCGCGCGTGGTCGATGCGCAAAGCCTTGGGATTTTCCGCATGGAGGCGCGCGCGGCGAATGGCGTATGTGCAAACACCAGATTCTTTCTACTTTTGGACTTACGCGAACCTCAAAACCTGAGGGTTTTTCTGCTTCTGCGCGGTTTGCCAGTTCTTGGCGGTACCTGCGTGGAGAACGACCCTTGTCATTAACAACGACGCGAGCGAACAACTTCTGGGAGCAGCTTGCAGAGGCAGTTTTTACGCAGAGGGCTTGCGCAGAGAAACTTGCGCAGAGCACTCGCACAGAGCAACGCGCGCCCAGAGCTCGGCTAGAGAACTTGCGTCGATAACTTGCGCCGTGAAGCTTGCATGAGTCACTGGGCTAGACGAACTTGAGCAGCGGAATTTGCTCAGACAATTTGCGCAGAGAAACTTGCAGAATGAACTTGCGCAGAGACAACTAGCGCAGAGAACGTGCTTCATGCTTTCGGCCCACCCGTTCTTCTAGTTCCCCAAGGAGTGTTTGCGCTCAGGGTTTCTTACGGTAAGTTAAGGCTGGGTAAACTGAGGGTTCGCGCTCAAAGTGTTGGCAGGGTGCGCAAATAGTTGTTTTGATGCAACGCGCAGCGAAAATGCGCCTTCTCTGTGGCGCCGTGCCAGTGTTACGCACGACCTCACGCCGTTGATGCCAGGCTTAACAGTTCTGCCGGGTGAGGCTATGCTTTTTGAGGAAGTGTCGCGCTCAACGCATTTTAAGAGCAGGGTGCTTTTTCGATGTCAGCGACACTGCACCGCGAAGTTTGCGCTACGACGCGCTGGGTGTGATTTCGAGGAAGCTGGCAGGCCCGCTGCTCCGCATGAAACGGACCTTTCTTCAAAACTGCGCTCTCGCTGTGGCGCCGTGCCGATTTTCGGACTTGTGTGTTGGCGGCTTGGCTCCATGGCCAGCTCAGTGCAGAGTGAGATTGGCGCCCAATTTTTGTGGCCGTCACAGTTCTATGGCTTTTCGTTGCAAGTGCCCAGTGCAGAATTTTCATACACAGGGTCAGTGAGTTTCGTGGCAGGCGCGCCGTGTCATTCATTTGCAAGTGTTGCAAGATGAAAGCGAACGCACTGCGGAGTTCGTTCGTGTCGGAGCGCCCTCGCTGTGGCTCCGCACAACTGCGTACTGGGCCCGGCAAACTCTCTGCGGAGATCTTGTGTGTCGAGTGCTCTCGCTGCCCTGGAAGACGAAACAGGCCTTAAAAAGTTCAAACTTCCCAAACACGCCTTTGAAGCAAAAAAGGTTCTCCAGTACTTTAAGGACTTGTGGGGTTTTACCCAGGCCTGTTTGGATGTTAAGGCCTGGTTGGATGTTAAGGCCTGTTTGGATTTTAAGGCCTGCCTAGAATGATTACTTTTGCGCTTGCGCTTACTATCGCCAAAGCCTATCTATGCGCACTTGGGCCAGTTCAGGCTAAAACTTAGCAGTTGCCCGGAAGTTTTCTTCACGTGCAATGGCGGCGCTCATTCTTGTACGCCGATCGCACGTCGACGCAGAGCATGTTCGCTGCGCGCCTTTTGCAAACACGTCGCAGAGGGTGCGAAAATTGACTTTTGGAAAGCCGAAGCAAGCAAACGAACTGGGCTGACGCACGCTTAGCGATTCCTCAAACTGTGATGACTACGAGTGCCAAGCGCGGCAGCTTCCAACCCTGTCAGAAGATGGCACAAGCTGCCAGTCTGGCGTGGTGACTTGTCAAGTTTTCCAACGCCAACCTAGTGCCTGAGCGAGCTGTCAGACTCTAAGGTGTCCTTCTAGCGCGACGGCTCGCAAAAAGCCGCGTGTGTGCCAGAATGGTTTGTCGCGTGCGGGCGGACAGCCCCCAACACCTGACAAACAACGCTTGGGGGCCCAGCAAGTAGCCGCCAGAAAGGCGGCAGCAGCGAACTGCGCACCGAAAACTGCGAGCCGACGACTGCGCGCGCGAAGCTGCGCCCGGCAAGCTGCCTGCGCATCTTGTGTGAACTGGCTGCCTGCGTCTAACTGCTTGCAGCACCCTTCTAGCGGCAGCTTGCTTGCAGCAACCCCCCCTCAGGTTTGATATAATTAGCCCTCAAGAGGCCACTGTGGCGCTATTCCGATGCAAGAACAAAGCATGTCCACCACAATAGGCAGTGTCTGGTTACCAAAGTAAGTTAACACATCGGTGGAGACTTTTGTATGACCGCGTCAAAGTCTCTAGTTTACACAAAACTCATGGTTCCGGAGCAAGGTTCAAGCAGTTGTCCGGGGTCTGATGCAGGCAAGGTGTCAGCTTCGAGCAAGCAAGCTTGCGGAGGTCCGGGGTTCTGGCGCAGGCCAGGTGTCAGGCTGAAGCTTCCGAAATTTCGGGGAGGTGCGGCGCAGGCCAGGTAGTAAGGTTTTGCTGGCCAGGCGTAACCTTCAAACAAGTTAAGATGGTGTTCGCAGAGCGTGACGCTCAGGGGTTTTCACGCCTGTAGTTTCAAGATCTCACGGCTGCAACCGCCGAGGACATTTTAGCTCGAAGAGTCAACGCAGCAAGGCTCAGTTTCTGGCTCGGTGTGAAATTCAAGCAAGGTTTGAGGAGGGGTGCGCGCCGCAGGTTCTGGGAAGTGCCCCAAGACACGGCCCAGGGTGCTTCGGGCGGCGCTGTTTGGGCCGGCGTACATGGCAGGTGGCTTGCTTGACGCTTGTTGCGTGAGAGACAATTCAATGTCGACTGATGCATTTCGCTGCAGATGTCGCGCTCTGTACGGTTCTGCGAAAGCTCAGTTGACAGGGTTCAGCAGGTCGAAACAGAGCGCCGTACGCTATTGGGGATATCACCTGCGCTGTTGCAATCTGCCAGGTTGGCAAGACAGAGGGACAAACGCCTGACGCATCTCATGTCCGAAAGTCGAGCGGGCGCTTGCAGCATGACATTCCCCAAGATCGGCGCACGATAACTTGTATTCCGACACCTGTGTGTGAAGCTCGAGCGTTCAACTGTGCTAAACAGCCTAGCTGCAACGCGAGCAAACGAAGCAACCGCTTGCCTCATTCTTTGACGCCACCCGGCTTGACGATGAGTTCATGTTTGTAGGCCTGTTTTCCTGTTTGCTCGCAGGTGCTTTCTGTCGCCCCCCAATGATTTCACACGGCGCGCTGGCACGCTCAAAGTTTGAAGGCCTACCAAAAGACCCTTAGCGGCTTCGAGCCGTCTAAAAGTCCAAGGGAAGCCGCAGCCAGCATATTCATGGGAATTGCCATGGTGACTTTGAGAATTTTCAGTGTGATGAACTTCCCCTTTTCATTGCTTTCCAAACACAAACAGGCAGGGTGTAAGAAGGCCGTTTTTAAAAGGCTTGTTTAGAACAGCTCTAAAATAGAGCCTGTTCAGCTTTCTTGGAGACGATATTTAAGGGCTGCCGCCCTGTGCCGCCCTGTGCCGCCGGCCCCTGCTTGCTGACAGGGCACCTTGTTATGACAATTATGACTACGCATTTTTTGTCGGGTTTAACGGCACACTTAAAGCATATATGAAAAAGAAGAGCAGCAGGATAATGACGGTGTTTTTGATGATGCAATTGTTTACCCAACATTAGGGATGCTGATAATTATTAGTATGCGATCGCATTATCGCCATCAGTTATGATGATAATTTTAACTTTGCATTTTTAGCATCACCAGCAGTTGTTCTAATAATTATGACGGCGCATTCCCTGCGTTTCAATCAAGCCACTGCGGGATAAATTCGCATGATAATAGGCACCTTGGTGAATTTTACAAGAAGTGCCCCGGGTGTGTGGAAACTCGGCCAGGAAAACCATGGCGGGGGCCGTTTTTCTTCTCAAGACTTCGATGCATTGCTGTGGATGCGAAGTGTGGACTTTGTGCTATCGCTTCGTCTTCGCGAGAAGTAAGCCGTCAGGAACACCTCGGGATGCAATCAGATGGTGATGGTGATGATGGTCATGGTGATGATGAACTATGCACCCCCGGCATCACCAGCAGTTATTGTGACAATCATGACTGCGCGTCCCCCTGCGTCTCAAGTCAGGTCTAACGGCGCAATTGAAATGTGGTGAAAAAAGAAGAGCGCCACGGTTTTGAAGATGAACATGATGAGGAACATGATGATGAAAATGATGATGAACATGAACATGAACACGAAAATGATGATGAACATGATGATGATGAAGATGATGGCGATGATGATTGGACGTCATCACTATGCATCCCCAGCATCAGCAGCAGTTGCTTTGACAATCATGGCAACGCATCCTCTGCATTTCCAGTCGGCTTTCACGGCACACTTGAAACGTATAGCGCCACGGTTTTGGTGGTGTTCATTTTCATCATCATGTTCATCAGCATCGTCGTCATCTTCATCATGTTCATCACCATCATCATCATCATTTGCATAAGCATGTTCCTCATCATGTTCATCATCAAAACCGCGGCGCTCTCCTTTTCATATGTGTTTCACGTGTGCCGTTAGACCCGACTGGAAACGCAGAGGATGTCATGATTGTCATGAGCAGCAGTTATCATGGTCACTCGTGACAACGCATCCTCTGCATTTCGGCACACTTGAAACGTACATGAAAAAGAAGAACGCCACGGTTCTGATGATGGACATGATGAGGAACATGCTTATGCAAATGATGATGATGATGGTGATGAACATGATGAAGATGACGACGATGCTGATGAACATGATGATGAAAATGAACACCACCAAAACCGTGGCGCTATACGTTTCAAGTGTTCATCATCATCATCATGTTCATCGTCATCGCATCACCATTTTCATCACCATGCTCCTCATCATGTCCATCATCAGAACCGTGGCGTTCTTCTTTTTTCATGTACGTTTCAAGTGTGCCGAAATGCAGAGGATGCGTTGTCACGAGTGACCATGATAACTGCTGCTCATGACAATCATGACATCCTCTGCGTTTCCAGTCGGGTCTAACGGCACACGTGAAACACATATGAAAAGGAGAGCGCCGCGGTTTTGATGATGAACATGATGAGGAGCATGGTGATGAAAATGGTGATGCGATGACGATGAACATGATGATGATGATGAACATGATGATGAAAATGATGATGACCATGCATGAACATGAACATGATGATGAAACTGATCCATCATTTTCGTCATCATGTTCATCATCATCATCAGTTTCATCATTGTGTTCATCATCATCAAACATCATCAACATTTTGCATCTTCATCATCATCATCATTTCATCATGTTCCTCATCATGTTGATCATCATTATCAGACGCATCCTCAGCATCACCAGCAGCTAACGTCATCAATATGCATCCCCAGCATCAGCAGCAGTTACCATGACAATCATGACAACGCATCCTCTGCATTTCATGATAATCATCACTAAGACAAGGACAAAGACGAACCCTCCCCATGCGCCTCCTTTTGAGAAGGGGTCGGCGGATTTTTCAAGGTTGTTTAGTTTTCCAGTTCCAGGTTGGCTCCGTGCAAGTGTGTCTTGGTCGCGGCGAACCTTCTGCGGAGATCGTGCTTGTCGAAGTGGGCTGTGGCGCCACCCGAATGTGTCTTGGCGGCGGCGAACCCTCTGCAAAGATCGCGCGCGCGTCGAAGCGCTCTCACAGGAGGGAGCATCATGCGCAGCATCATGGGTGACGTCATGCGTATCATCATGCCTCACAGAGCCCGCAGCATCCGTGCAGCTTCACTGCTTCAACCCGCAGCAGGATGCTAAGCTTGCTCGTGATAACTTGCAGAAGCTACGCTTGAGCAAGGGCGTCGACGTGTTTACGGGGGCGGTGTCAAGCCCAATGCGATTTGAGATGTTTTGCCAGCGTAGTTTTCCTGCTGCGTTCCACACTTCTGTTCTGCTTTTTAGCGATGAGGCTCCAACGACGCGTAAGGGACACATTTAGGCCTCAAAGGGCGCGACTTGCGAGGGGGGAATATATCGATGTCGTTTTGCAGCAACACGCATCGATGTCTCGGTTTGTTTCGGCAACTCGCAAAAGACTTCTCGACGAAGCGCTTCCAAATTTGGAAGAGGGCGATGCCTTTCGCAGGAACGGTAAGCACACCTTCAGAGCGTTCCGGATAAGCTTTTAGTTGTCCCGTTTAGTTGGGCTCGGCTGGTTGCTTGGAAGAGGGTCCTTGCCGGCGCCGAAGCCAGGCGTCAGGCACGTTCAGGCGTGGAGTCGCTGGTTAGCGGGGTATATGGCGCGGCCCCTTTCCACGATTTATCCTTCATTCACTTTGGCCGCGGGTTTCTTACTCTGGCTGCAAAGATAGGCAAACAGACGTTTTTTGCATAGTTGTAGCCCCGGTCGAATTGCATATTCCCACTTTGTAGGCCGAAGCCCTACTGTTTGCTGGTGCACATCCGGTAAGGTGAGTGAGCAGGTGGGATCAGCCAATGTTGGGATCTTCAGTCACTTTCCCTCGCAAAAGCAACGCTCATCCTCAGCTGCTGTTGGCTGAAGGGTTCTTCTACAGGGTGGCAAACGCTGGGGCTGTCCACACATATGGGTTTGTCTTTTTTGTTGTGTTGATTTGCTTGAGAAGGCAGAAGGGAGCTTCGCGGCTCATCACTCCGAATCATGCCCCGAAGCTGGAACTTTTCTTCTTCCACCTTTTGTCCACAGCCACTACTAGCGCTACCTGCTACCAACGTAGAGCCGGCGTAGCTGGTGGTCGGAACTTTGATAGAAATACAACAACAACGGAAGTTGTGTTTATCTTTCTCGTTGTCCTTCTCTTTCTCTTTTGCTTTCTTTCCGTCTCTTTTTTCTCTTTCTCCCTTTCTCTCTTTCTTTTCATCTTTTTTCTTCCTGTCTTTCTCTCATTCGTTTCCTCTATTTTTTTCTTATTTCTCTTTCGCTTCCCTTTCCTTTTTCTCTTGCTTTCCTTTCTCTGTATCTTTCCCTTGCTCTTGCCCATGTTTTTGCTCTTTGCTTTTTCTCTTTCTCTTTATCTCTTTCTTTCTTTTCCTCTGCATCTTCCTCTTTCTTTGTCTCTTTCTATCCTTCTCTCCTCTCTCTCTCTCTCTCTCTCTCTTTCTTTCTTTCTTTCTTTATCTCTCTCTCCCTCTGTCTCTCTTTCTCTCTGAGTCTTCCTCTTTCTCTTCCTCTTCCTCCTTTTCTTTCTCTTTTGTATTTTTCTCTCCTGCTCTTATCTTTCTTTGATTCTCTCGTTCTCACTTTCTCTTTTCCATTTTCTCTCTCTTTCTCTTTCTTGCGAATGTCCTGCGCCTGCCACGGGATCTACACCACTTAGACAATCCAACGGCGTGCGTGAGACACCTTTTTGCGCACACGGCGCCTGACGATGGCAATCGCATCCAGGCCAACAAATCGCGGCAGAATTCTCGCCAACTCGCAACCGAGTTCCTCAAAGCATCGTGTTCAACAAGAGGCGTGAGACGGCGACGTTTGTAGAACGCTTGTGAAACTGACACGCATGCCACACAACCTGCGCCTGAGCTTGCGAAAGTGCTGCGCCTGCCAAGGAATCTGTACCTGACATTGCGAAGGTTCGAAAGTGTTGCACCTGCCACGAAATCTGTACCAGAGTTTGCGAAAGCGCCTACTAGTACTAGTAGTGCTACTACTACTACTACTACTACTACTACTACTACTACTACTACTACTGCACAACAACAACAACTACTACGACTACTGGACTACTGTTTCTACCGCTACTACTTCTACTACTAGCGCTGCTGCTGCTACTACTACTATCACTACTATCACTACTACTTCTACTACTACTGCTACTACCACTGCTACTACTACTACTACTACTGCTACTACTACTACTACTATTACTACTACTATTGCCACTACTACTGCTACTGCTGCTACTACCGCTGCTACTCGTATCGTTTATTCGTAAATCAGGTTCCGTTCCACAACTGTCCGAATCATACAGGTGAATCATACCCGAATCACACGCGTGTCACACGCGGCCCAAAAATCTTTTGCAAAATGTCCACACTTTGGCCGCTGGTGCTGCTGCTGCTGCTGCTGTAGCTACCACTACGAACTACTAGTAGTAGTAGCAGCAGAGCGCTGAGTAAGAGCAGGAACAGGAGTAGAGGTAGATGTAGGAGTAGTAGTAGTAGTAGTAGTAGTACTTGGTAGTCCTGGTAGCAGCGGTAGCGGTAGTAGTACTAATAGTACTAGTAGTAGTAGTAGTAGTAGTAGTAGTAGGAGTAGTAGTAGTAGTAGTAGTAGTAGTAATTGGTCTGTGCCCAAATAAGGCTCAGACCGGAAAATTTGGGTGCGGGCGGGTGTGAGTCGAGGGCATGACCCGGTGTATGAAAGTAGAAGTAGCAGTAGCAGTAGTAGAAGCGATCAGAGTCGTAGCACTGTTAGTGGTAGTGGCCGCGGTCGTGGTAGTAGTAGTTGTGGTGTTAGTGGTGGTAGTAGTACTAGTAATCGTAGTAGGACAAGTAGTAGTTCAGTAGTTGTAAAAGCAGTAGTCGTTGTAGTAGTAGCAGTGGCAGTCGTACTTGTAGTACCTGATGGTGCGAAGGGGGCATGAGTTGGGAGATGGTTCGCAGGTGTGCTTCGTGGCATGGTTCGGAGGTATGATTCGCGTAGGTCGATCTTCCATCCTTTACCAAGTCTTGCACCTTTATTACTGTTGTTCTTGGTACTCGTGGCAGCGGTGGTAGTAGTAGATAATGCTGAGGAGGAGTGCGAGCGGGAGTGCGAGTTGAAGACTAATCCGTTCCCATTTTTTTAACGGACCCTTTGAAGAAACACAATTTTTATTGACCGTGGGGCCCCCCATACTTCTTCTAGAGTAGGCCAATTTGAAAGCAATACTAAACTCTCGGATTTCTCAGCCTGACCAGCCCCAGCCTTATGAGGGTAACTAGCCTAGGACCCAAGCCGGAGCTCCGGGAGCCGGTTCCCTTTACTACGGTCGTACTGCAAAGTTGCGATTTTCAAGCCGGAGCTCCGGGAGTACGTTTTCTTCACTACGGTCGTGCTACAAAGTTGCAACGTTCGAGCCGGAGCTCGTTAGTACGTTTCCTTCACTGCGGTCGCACTACAAAGTTGCGATGTTTGAGCCGGAGCTCAGGGAGTACGTTACCTGTACTACGGTCGTACTACTGCGATGTTCAAGCCGGAGCGCCGGGGGATGAGTATCTTTGTCTTCAGGGGGCCCATCAGACCCAAAAGAACCCTATTAATATTTATTCTTCGTCCCCGAGGCTGATTTACTAATAGAAGGGTCCGGGTTTATAGTTCGGGGGATTACTACTATTGCTGCCACATCTATCACAACCACTATTACCATTTCTACTACTTCTACTACTACTACTACTAGTTCGACTATTACTATTACTCTTATTATTACTATTACTACTACTACTCCTTTTTCTTCTACAGCGACTCATATTCCACGAGTCACACCCGCGAATCATACCCGCACCCAAACCGTTCTGCCCAGCCACAGTAAAAGCGCAATCCCATCTCCAAACAAGTTCTACTCTCGTCGCTCAGGGTGAAACAGTGTCAAAGGTTCGTCGCTTTTGCTTTTGTTCTACTTGTTTTGTTTGAGCGCCATGATTCCAATCCAGGAATCGCCGTTATTGCGCTTTTCCGACCCCGAGTTCTTTTCAACCAATAGTCCTTTGAGTTTTCTCCCATTGTTTTGCCTAAACCAGCCCGCGCACTTCCTTTCCTCGCCGCAGTTGCCTCACTGGAATTCGGAAGTGTCCAACGGTGTCTCGGATGAGGACGGGATTTGGTGCCAGAAGAAGGGTTGGCCATGTGTTCCACCAGCAGGCAGACTTGGATGATACAGAGGGCACGTGCCTTGTTTGATACTGCGTTGCCTTCCAAGCAAGATGAAGAACGGGCGTTGCCGCGTTCAATGGCCTTCTTTGAGGGAACTGTTGCCATATCTCAACAACGGCGCACGCTCGCGCAAAGCCAGCCGTTGGCCTTGCGGTTTTCGGTTTTTAGTCCACCTTTTGTAACGGTTCCAGACAGGGTGAGCCTTTAGTTTTCTCCGACGTCCCGTAAAACGCCTGCCTTATCGCACAGGGTGGCAGGTTTTATCAGGCTGGCACGGTCAGCTATTCAATCTTGGTAGCCTTCGGAGAGCGCACGAACTTGTGCTGCGGGCATGGGTGTTGGAAGAGTCATCATGAAGGCTTGGCTGAGGAAGGATTACTGCTGATTGATGCTGCGTGCTCGAGTTCAAGTTGTTGGCAGCATGCCCTTGTGCATACTGATCCCACTGAGCATGAGCTATGGCAGCTGTTTCCCCGCTGGGTCAGATGGACGAAGCAGGTGACCACCAAGCCTTTTCTGTCAGCCGTGATTTGGTCTCCGGGGGTTTATGCCCCAGGTAGAACAGGATACTGATGTTGGTTTGCCATTTACTTTCTTTTCGCAAAGTCAGCCAGCCACTTGGCCTTGGTGGACAGCCGCCAACTGCCCAAATTTGGGGCGCAAAAGCCCGCGTGGGTAGGGGCGCTGCCCTAGGGTTTTGGTTTCAGCGATTTCCGCAAATGCATTATTCGGGCGCCGAACGAGTTTTTCACGGCTTTTACACACCCACACTGATGTGGGACCCAAGGGGGAAATTTGAAATTCACTGCGGGTGTTTGATTTTCATTTGAATTTGGCAGTGCCGGACCACATTGGTGTTTGAGAGCTGCCGCAGCCCAAAACTCGGTGGATTGACAACCTTCGCTTGTTCAGTCTTGCCTGCAGCAAACCTGCGCAAGGCTAGCTTTTGCGCTGTAGAGGGCTCCGTGGCGATCATCGGGAGCAATGAGTCCCGCGGCGCTTGCGTAATGTCCATCGGTACAAGCCACACCCTAAGGGGCGCCGCTGTTTTTCAGTTCCCCTACGTAGCTACCATTAAAGCTTGCTGGCCAGTGGCAGGCTGACTTGTGGCTTGCTGGCGCGATAAACAATCTACCAACCAACATCTGCAAGGTGCGTTCAAGAAACACATCTGAGCGCGCCAGCCTCAGTCATTCGTCATCAACAGACAAAAACTTCACAAAGACTACCCGCATCGCAGCTTCGTGAGGTCTCTAAGTTCCCATTTTTTAGGTGTTTGAGCCTGGCAACCTGTTAAGGCTTGTAACGAAACAAGAATTTCCCCCACACGCACACTTGCACACACGCGCACGCCGCCTCTGGCTTGCAGCCTGCCACCCCCTGCCAGAAGAGCAGACAACAGCACGTGTGCAACAGCAGCTGCTGCCAACAAAGTTCTGTGGGAAACGGTTCTCTTCCATGTTGCTTTCTGAAGAAGAAAGCTGGCTGGCCCAAGCTGACAAAATAACAGCTGATTCCTTCGAATAATAGACAGCTGGTTTTCACAAATATTACTGCCAAACTTGCAAGATCCACCTTGAGCGAGAAAGCTCGCACAGCCAAACCTGCACAAGCCAACTAGCGCACGAAAGCTCGCGCGAGGCATGTGGACGCCGAGGTAATTAGTTACTCTCTTGGGGTGGCGCGGTGGGACCGAGCCCGCTCTGCGAAAATGTTTTATGTGGAAGAAAGGTACGCGCAAGCGTGCGAATTGCCGGCGCCTGCGCTGCTGCGGTTTGCGGGGCGCGCTGTGCCACAGCTCAGAGTTCTGCCCCTAGGCTTCGTTTCGTGACTATCTTGCGTGCCCGAATCACACCGCGACAGGCTCGGAGCTGTCAGCGGAGGCGGACTTTTTCACGCACCTTTTCCACAGTGCTGCGTCCCCGATCAAAGGGGTTTACGCCCCAGCGCCAAGACTACCCCTAGCTCTCTCCTGCAGCAACGTTGCTGCTCCAGTGCGCCTGAACAGTGGCGACCCCTCTAGCAAACACAGCTTCACGAGCAGATCATGATGGGCACCCGAGTCAGCATCTCGATGGGCGTGCGGTAGCTTCAAGTAAGGCGCTAGCAGTCTACATCCGTTCCTTTCTTTGCCTGGCGCTTCCGAAGAGGAATGGACATGTTTGGATCTGACGTGCGTGGCACTCAGAAGACCATCTTGGTCAACGAAGCCGAACAAGGTTTGAGTGCTTTCGTCCAATGACACTTGGTGCACATACACATCGTGCTTCTTTGGGACAAAGCGGGCCCCTTACTGGTTTTGCCAGATCGGGCGCCCAGTTAGTTCGATTCTTGCATTCTTCCATCTTCTTGAAGCACGCTGTTTTCTTGTACATTGATAACGGGCTGATTCTTGTGCCACCAAAAATTGCCTCGCAGGTCTCACGTTGCGTGATTTTATTCTTTGAGGCCCTAGGCAGCGTCCCATTGAGCTGGGGAAAATGCACCTTGTAAGAACTGGCTCAGGCGGGCGTTTAATTTCACTCTGCGCGTTGCTCTCCTTCCGGCGGATAAAGTCTCTCGCATCTTCCAGATGCTGGTCCCGGGCCAGCGGATAGAGCGGAAGGCGCTTGACTTCCTTAGCGCACGACCGGCGCCAGGTGTCTCCGGCCATGGGCGCAGCTGTTCTATGATCTGCTGTGCAAACCCCACGCCGTGTTTCGGATTGCGGCGCCCCACTTTGCCATTGTGACAAATTTGCTTGACTTCGACTTTTCAACGCAGCAATCTGTCGAAATTTGCGATATCGGTCCAGTTGGAGGCTCGACTCTGTAGGAAATTACAAAGTAGATGGGTTGAGCTCCGCTCCCATCCTGAATCCCCGCATCAAGGGAGCTGACTGCAAGCTTTATGATTACACAAAGTCTTGGCGCAAGACCCAAAGCATGTGCTGCGGCTGCAAAGTTCTTCCAAAATACCGTGACAGCGCAGACTTATATTCCCTTATGCTTGACTTGCCCTGCGTAGCAGACGCCTTTGCTACTGCAGACTCAGCAGGTGTCGGCGGTTGGCGGGTGGCTTGTGGGGCCTCTTTGCAAGCACGAGACGTCAAGCGTTTGTCGTTTTAGCGCTGTGCGAAATTTGAACAGAGAAAGTTGAAAATTGCTTTCTAAAGTAATGGTTCCGAGCAAGAGATCGTGCGGCCAGATGTTGCAGATAGACTTCTCAAGAAATCTTGCCAAAGATGTTCTTGAAGATGTTCTTGATTCTGAAAAGAGATCGTGCGCCGAGATTTTGCGCAGCGCGTGTAACAGAGATTTTGTGCACAGATCTCGCGAAGATCCTCTTGCCGAGGCCCTGTAAAGAGATCTCCTTGCTGTGACCGCAGCAAGCCTCGAAAGAGATCACGGACATTGGGAAGGTGGCCTGCTGCTGTTGCGGCGGGGTGCGAGTTTCCAGCGTCGCACGTGACCCTATGCGGACAGCAGCTGCGTTGTTTTTCCGGTGTGTTGTGCAGAGAATGCTGAAGCTCAACAGTTGCAAGTGCCTCGTGCTTTGTATTTGGAGTGTTCTCGTTTGCGCCAGGAGAGGTGAGCTTTTTTTGCGTGATGTAGAACTCGGCGAAGCGAGAGCTCAAACTGAATTTCGGGAGCAAGAGGCACCGCCGGCAGTCGTTGCAGGCGCCGTGCTGGAGGTAACAGGCGGAGGCGGAGGACGCGGAGAGTTTGATTGGGCTGGATGAGGCTGCAGAGAACAATCCTTTGCAGCATTATGTCGTAGTGCCAACACAAGTGCGTAGGTTGCAAGGCAGGCGCGAATCCAAAGAAAGGAAGAAGTCAAACAGCGGAAGGAGAAGCTCAGGTGGTCGCGGGCATGCACTGACAGCAGCGCGAGAAGCATGCCATGGTCACGCGTTGGGGCCTGCGAGAAGTTTGCAGGAGACTTGGCGACCGACATGAGCAAGACATCGCAAAGGAGTTACAGCTCTTGGAACAACCTCAGGCATCGGAGGCGCAATTTCTGGGGTTCCAAGCCGTTGTTCGTTCCTGAGTCAAGGCGCTTGTCCTTCATAGAGTTCTTTTTGGTGACTGCTTGCCGTTCGATCCACGCAGGCCTGCAACTGATGCAACCCCCTATATAGCACATTGCCCACGTGGCGATGGGACACTGCAGAAGTGACCGCTATGTCGCGCGCGACTAAAAGTCGTTTCCCAAGTCAGTCAAATTTGCAATTCGCCTCCCTCTCCCTGACAGGGCGCCTGACCCCTGGAGATGCCCACTCACTGGTAACAGCCTCTGTGTGCCTGGATCTTTTTCTCAGCAACACTGTTGGCAATGTTTGGCTCGAGTAATCAAAGCATGCTCTGTTGGTTGATATAACCTTCAAATCAGTGCAAACTGTCAGCTGCTTAAACTAGACTTACTTGAGCTTAACTAGCAAAATGTGGTTTTAGCCAACTAAGCCTAACTAGGCCCAATGAAGCCTGACTAACCCTAATTAAGCTGGGCTGTCCTTGCCAAAAGGGATATCCTTGAACCGCCCTCAACTTGTTTTTGTGGAGTTTGTTTTGCGGGGAGGGTGGCTGTGGCGGGGGAGCGCTTCATCCATGAACGCAAGCCCCAGGAGTTGTTGCAGCCGCTTTCTTGCGTTGTGCTTTTTCTCGTTTTACACTCATGTCTCGCTTTAGAAGCTACACCGCAAAATCACAACTTGTCACAACACAAGTGTAGTACACAAAGGACGCTGTTGAAACATCCCAACTTTCCAGCGCAGCGCCGGCAGCAGGCAAAGCACCTTCGCCTTATTTCAGCCCCGAAATCAAAACTTCCGTCATTACTGGTGTAGCAGTGCGCAACATGCACTTGCGCTCCAGTCGAAACACGTACTTTCTAGTGCAAGTTTCGTATGCAAAGTGCACTTCCGCAAGCTCCAGCTCGACTGTCGCAACTTTTCTGCGTAAGTCTTGTACACAAACTGCAAGTATGCAGCTCCAGCTCAAGAGTCGCACCGTCCGTTCGACCGTTCTACGTAGTGCATGCCGCAGCCCCATGCGCCATGCCGCAGCTTGGCTTTTCTTCAGAGAAGGAGGCGCGTGTTTTTTTCGCTTTGCAGACTTAGTTTTTGCAAACCTTTGTTCTCATCAGTCTTTGGAATGATGCAACGAGATTCCGGTGCAGGAAACATTGTGCTTTCAACGCTCTACGGGGCCGTGACTTGAATCACCTGCTGGGCCGTTGCTTTGCTGCAGTTCTATGCGGCTGCCGACGACATTGTTCGGCGTGCTGGGGCAATCCACAGGTAGCCCAGGCCTGCGTCTCTCACACCCGCTCTCTCTTTAAGTGACCAGCGCCCAAGCGCTTTACTTCAAGGTTCTTTGGGGCGGATAGCGTGGTTCTTAAGGCAGCAACTGCAGGACCACAGGTCAGCAGACATCGCACAAATCTTGGATGTCAATTCCACAATGATTGGTGACAGGAGAGCCGGGCAGCTCACAACGCCCTGACCTTCGCCCGTTGGGAGGAGACAGGGAGGTTATCAAAACTGGCCGCGGGCCGTGTTAATGTTCGACTACCTTTAAAGCGACGCAGCGTCACGACTGCTGTTGTTGTTGATCTGGTTGTTGTTTCTGCTGCTGCTGCTGCTGCTGCTGCTGTTGTTGTTGTTGTTGTTGTTGTTGTTGTGGTTGTTGTTGTTGTTGGCTGTTTTGTCTGTTGTTGCGGTTGGCGGTTGGCTGTTGGCGGTTGGCGGTTGGCTGTTGGCTGTTGGCTGTTGGCTGTTGGCTGTTGGCTGCTGTGGTTGTTGTTGCGCTTGTGGTTGTGTTGTGATTGCGGTAGCGGTTGTGGTTGTGGTTGTTGTTGCGGTTGTTGTTGATGTTGCTGTTGCTGTTGCTGTTGCTGTTGCTGTTGCTGTTGCTGTTGTTGTTGTTGTTGCCGTTGTTGTTGTTGGTGTTGGTGTCGGTGTTTTTCTTGTTGTCGGTGTTGTTCTTATTCTTGTTCTTGTTCTTGTTCTTCTGCTTCCTCTTCTTGTTCTTGTTGTTGCTTTTTTGTTGTTGGTGTGGTCGTTGTTGTTGTTGTTGTCGTTGTCGCCGTCGTCGTCGTGGTCGTCGTGGTCGTCGTGGTCGTGTTCGTCGTGGTCGTGGTCGTGGTTGCGGTTGCGGTCATGGTTGTTGTGGTCGATGTGGTCGTTGTGGTCGTTGCGGTCGTTGTGGTCGTTGTGGTCGTTGTGGTCGTTGTGCTTGTTGTGGTTGTTGTTGTTGTCGTTGTTGCCGTTGTTGTGGTTGGTTGTTGCTGCTGTCGTTGCTGGTTGGTGGCGGTGGTGGTGGTGTTGTTGGTGTTGTTGTTTGTGTGGCTGTTGGTGTTGGTGCAGGTTATCTTTTGTGTCGGGGGTTGTTGGTTGTTGATTGTTGTTGTTTGTTGAATGTTTGTTTGCAATGTGTTGTGTGTGGTGTTGAAATTATTGTTTGTCGTTGCGTGTTGCTTGTTTGCTGCGCAGTGCTTGTTGCTTGTTGTTGGTGGTTGTTTAGTTGTTTGTTGTCGGGGTTGTTGGTTGGTGTTGTTGCTGCTTTTGCTGCTGGTGTTGTTGTTGATATTGGTGTTGTTGTTGATGTTGTTGGTGGTGTCGGTATTGTTGTTGCCGTGGTTGTTGTGTCGTCCGTTTTTTGGTGTAATGGCTAACGTTGTTGTTGTTGCTGTTGTTGTTGCTGTCGTTGTTGCTGCTGATGTTTGGTTGTTGGCTGGTTGGCTGGCTGGGTTGGCTGGTTGGTTGGTTGCTGTTGCTGTTGTTGTTTTTGCGCGTTGCTGGTTGTTGGTTGTTTGTCGCTTGTTGTTTTTGTTTGCTTTGCGTTGTGTGTGTTGCGTTTTTCTTTTTCACGTTTCTGCTTTTGTTTGTTTTGCTTTCTGTTTGTGGTTTGGTTGTTGGTTGTTGTTGTTGGTGCTGTTGTTGTGGCTTTTGCTGTTGTTGTTTTGTTTGTTCCCGGAAGCATTGCGAAGGGTTCTTCTTCTAAAAGCGGCTGCCAACTTCACCTGCCAACTTCTCATGCCAACTTGTCGAGAGTTACTTCACCTGCCAACTTCTCATGCCAACTTGTCGAGAGTTACTTCACCTGCCAACTTCTCATGCCAACTTGTCGAGAGTTACTTCACCTGCCAACTTCTCATGTCAACTTTTTGAGAGTTACTTCACCTGCCTACTTCTCATGTCAACTTTTCGGCTGTTATCTCATTCTACTAAAAGCACAAGCTAATTTGTCGGGTGTTACTTCACTATCCTAAAAACACAAGCTAACTTTTCTGTTCTACCTTCACATCTCGACTCTTAATTCTTCTTCTTTTTATGGCGGGGGTAGGCCCGACGGGAGCTTACGAAACGCACCCCTCTGCGGAGATCGTGCGTGTCGAAGCGCTCTCGCTGTGGCGCCGTGCGAATTTGTCTTGACCTTGGCGAACCCTCTGCGGAGATCGTGCGTGTCGAAGCGCTCTCGCTGTGGCGCCGTGCGAATTTGTCTTGACCTTGGCGAACCCTCTGCGGAGATCGTGCGTGTCGAAGCGCTCTCGCTGTGGCGCCGTGCGAATTTGTCTTGACCTTGGCGAACCCTCTGCGGAGATCGTGCGTGTCGAAGCGCTCTCGCTGTGGCGCCGTGCGAATTTGTCTTGACCTTGGCGAACCCTCTGCGGAGATCGTGCGTGTCGAAGCGCTCTCGCTGTGGCGCCGTGCGAATTTGTCTTGACCTTGGCGAACCCTCTGCGGAGATCGTGCGTGTCGAAGCGCTCTCGCTGTGGCGCCGTGCGAATTTGTCTTGACCTTGGCGAACCCTCTGCGGAGATCGTGCGTGTCGAAGCGCTCTCGCTGTGGCGCCGTGCGAATTTGTCTTGAGCCCGATGAACCCTCTGCGGGATCGTGCGTGTCGGATCGCTCTCGCTGTGGCGCCGTGCGCATCTGTCTTGAGCCCGATGAACCCTCTGCGGAGATCGTGCGTGTCGAAGCGCTCTCGCTGTGGCGCCGTGCGATTTTCTTGCTCGCGAAACGGCTTTTGGAAGTTGTCTCGTGGTGTGCGCGCCTGCTTTCGCAATCCCGCGGTCCCGGGTTCGATTCCCCCCTGGTCCGCGGCAGCTCCGGCTTGAAAATCGCAGCTTTTAAGTACAAACGTAGTACGCGGAGCGTGCTCCTGCAGCTCCGGCTGGAAAATCGCAACTTTTAAGTACAGACGTAGTACGCGGAGCGTGCTCCCGCAGCTCCGGCTGGAAAATCGCAACTTTTAAGTACAGACGTAGTATGCGGAGCACACTCCCGCAGCTCCGGCTGGAAAATCACAACTTTTAAGTACAAAAAATAGTACGCGAAGTACATTCCCACAGCTCCGGCAGCACTTGCTCAGAGCAACTTGCGCAGAGCAACTTGCGCAGAGCAACTTGCACAGAGCACTTGCACAAAGCACTTGCGGAGAGCAACTTGCACAGACCAACTTGCACAGAGCACATGCGCAAAGCGCTTGCACGGAGCAACTGGCGCAGAGCAACTTGCTCAGAGCACTTGCGCAGAGCAACTTGCATAGAGCGCTTGCGTGCAGCAGCTTGCAGAGAGGAACTTGCGCGCAGCAGCCTGGAACGATGCAGCTTGCGCAGACCACTTTCGTGAGAAATCGCGCGGCGCAGTTCGTGCAAAGCACATTGCGCCGAGCAGACTCGCGCAGAGCCAACTTGCACAGAGCCAGTTGCGCAGAGCCACTCGCGAAAAGTAGCTTGCGTAGACCCAACTTTCACAGAGCCAAGCTGCGCAGAGCCATCTTGCACAGAGCTAAGTTGCGCGAGCGTGCTTTGCAGAAACTGTGGCCGTCGTGTAAGCTTTGCTATTGATTGCTCTTCCTTTTGCTTGTAATTCGTTTCGAGCTTTACGAGCTTTACTCTTCTTGTTTTAACGGATGTAAATATGTGGGATCGAGCACTGCCATGTTTCCTCTCGTAGGACGATGAGATGGAGCTCTCATGTGACCATACGCATTGAGCATCGCCGCGCGCGGACACGCTCGCCGCAGCGATGTAAAAAGGTGTCTCCGCGGCTGGATGAGCACCTGGGGAAAAATGCTTTCGGGCCAATCGTCCTCTAGTTTTTAACACCAACACCAAACACCAACACCAACACCAACAACAACAACGACAACAACAACAACAACAACAACAACAACAACAACAACAACAACCACAACCACAACCACAACCACAACCACAACCACAACCACAACCACAACCACAACCAACAACAACAACCAACCACAACAACCACAACAACCAACAGCAACAACAACAAACAACAATAAACATAATAGTAAGAACAACACCGGCAACGACCACACCAACAACGGTGTTGGTGTTGGTGTTGGTGTTGTTGGTGTTGGTGTTGGTGTTGTTGTTGTTGGCTGTTTTTGCTGTGCTGTTGTTGGTGTTGCCTGTTGGCTGTTGGCTGTTGGCTGTCGTTGTTGTTGTTGTCCTTGTCGTTGTCGTTGTTGTTGTTGTTGTTGTCGTTGTCGTTGTCGTCGTTGTTGTTGTTGTCGTTGTCGTTGTCGTTGCCGTTGTCGTTGTTGTTGTTGTTGTAGTTGCCGTTGTTGTTGCCGTTGTTGTTGCTGCTGTTGTTGCTGTTGTGGCTTGCGCTGTTGTTGTTATTGTGTTTTTTATTTGTGTTGTTGTTGTGGTTGTGGTGATGGTGCTGGTGGTGGTGTTTCGTGTTGTTGTGGTGTTTGGATCCCCCGTGAGTTTCCTAACAGAATGGGAGGGGTTGACCTTCCTACACACGGTTCCTTTAGCGTAAAGGGGTGGTCACGCGCGCACTTAATAGAAAACCTTTTTTGTGGAGGAATAGGTTTGTTCCGGCAAAATCAGTCGCTACAAAATCCATTTTTTTGTAGAGTGTCTTGGTTTCTTGGCGGGCCATGTTGAGGGGTTGTGCTTCGTTAGGGCATTTTGTAGGACACTGGTTTGGTTGCATTGTCATTTTGCAGCGCTTGGGCTCTAAGCTGTTTGGTCAGCATCCCTCCTTTGTTCCATTGTCTTCAGATTCTTCCTTTTAATCTTGCAGTGAACCTATCACTACTGGACATGTTCGCCAGCGCCAGGGGGCTTAAGAAAATTGAGGTTGTGTGGAAGCAGCAGGCCACGGTTGGACTACAACATGCCAAGCGCCCGTCACACACACGACAAAACGACTAGTTTTCTGATGTGTGTGTGTTGGGACGACGTCCGCCAAATGCAACGCTGACCCAAAGAACTTCCATCATCGCTGTTCCAGCGACTCACCCAGAAGGCGCACGTGTCAGTTTGAGTTGGCAGACTCGGCTTCCAGCAGTTCCTAGCAGATTTTGAGAGATGGTGCTGGCACAAACGGACAGAATGGGTCAACGGGGCTGCTGCTTATGGATTTGTTTGCATTTGTATGGATTGAGACCCGACTGGCCCTCGTAAAACAAATGGATTAAAAGGTGGCCGCCGTGACGTAGATCCCTACCTAAATCTCCTCCATTTTGTAGTGACCACTTTGTAGCATCGAAAAACACCCCGTAAATTTCGTAGGCCTTCTTCTGCAGGTGTAACACTCTGGGGCGCCAATTCCGCAGCATTGTGACGGTGCTGCTTCGCTGTTTTCCATGCGACCGCTGGCCATGTGATTCCACGTTGGTCGGCTTAAGATACGGCGCGGCTTGTTTTAATTTTCTATTAGTTTACAAGGTTCAAGTTTGCCGGCTACCGGCAGTTGGTGGCTTATAGGCACATAGGATCTCCAGCTGCGCAGCTCTGCATCACTCCACACCACGGACTCGTAGTAACCAGCTCTGCATTCCCAGCCAAGGAACAGGTTCAGAATTTCAAATGGGTGTGTGTTTGGTGTTGTTGTTTTTTTGGCTGGTTGTTTGTTTGATGTTCGGTTTGTGCTTGTGTATTAGTTTTTTGCTTTTTTGTTTTGTTCCCGAAAGCATGGCGAAGGGTTCTTCCGCTGGGTTCACTTGAGTTGTTCTCATGAGAGTCATTACAAGGTGTCATTGCAAGGAATCATCATCATGAAAGTCAATGCAAGGAGTCATTGCAAGGAGTCATTGCAAGGAGTCATTGCAAGGAGTCATTGCCATTGCAAGGAGTCATTGCAAGGAGTCATTGCAAGGAGTCATTGCAAGGAGTCATTGCAAGGAGTCATTGCAAGGAGTCATTGCAAGGAGTCATGAGAGTCATTGCGAGCTGCGCATGGAGTCAAGTGCAAGTTGCAAGTGCAAGGAGTCAAGTGCAAGTTGCAAGGAGTCAGGTGCAAGTTGCAAGTGCATGGAGGTGCAAGTTGCAAGTGCATGGAGTCAAGTGCAAGTTGCAAGTGTAAGGAGTCGAGTGCAAGTTGCAAGTGCAAGGAGTCAAGTGCAATTGACTTGCGAGGAGTTAAAATCTCTTCTTAGGGCGGCGGGGTAGTGCCGACGACACTACACGAAAATCGACCCTCTGCGGGGATCGGCGTGGTCGAGGTGCAAAAACCCAGGGTTTTTTGCGATTTCTAAAGTTCCCGCGCGACCCTCTGCGGGGATCGGCGTGGTCGAGGTGCAAAAACCATGTTTTTTTTTGCGATTTCTAACATGCTCGCGCGACCCTCTGCGGGGATCGGCGTGGTCGAGGTGCAAAAACCAATGGTTTTTTGCGATTTCTATAGTTCCCGCGCGACCCTTTGCGGGGATCGGCGTGGTCGAGGTGCAAAAACCCATGGTTTTCGCGATTTCTGCGGTGCTCGCGCGGCCCTCTGCGCGGATCGGCGTGGTCGAGGTGCAAAAACCCATGGCTCTTTTTGCGATTTCTGCGGTGCCCGCGCAACCCTCTGCGGGGATCGGCGTGGTCGAGGTGCAAAAACTCGAAGTTTTTTGCGACTTTTGTTTTTCGAACTGGTCCTCGGGAGTTGTCTCGTGGTTCGCGCGCCTGCTCCCGGAACCGGCGGGTCGCGGGCTCGATTCCTCCCTGGTCCGCGGGCGGTCGTCGCAAGATGCAACTTGCATTTTAAAGCAACTTGCGCAGAGCAACTTGCGCAGGGCAAGTTGCACAGAGCAACTTGCGCAGACCAACTTGCTCGACCAGTTTGCGCAGAGCGCCTTGCCTAGAGCAACTTGCGCAGAGCAACTTGCGCAGAGCAACTTACGCAGAGCAACTTGCACAGAGCACCTTGCCTGGTGCTGTCTCGCGCTTGCTTCACGAATGCTTCGTGTAGGGAAAAAGAACATCCTGCTGGCCGTTTTGGTTGTTGATTTGTTGCACTCGTTTGTTTGTTTGTTTGTTTGTTTGTTTTCTGGCGTCTGGTGTTGTTGTCGTTGTCGTTGTTTTTTGGGGTTTGTGCTTGGGCATGTTGACGCTGCGTGGCCTTACGGAAAAACAGAGTTTGTTCGCGTTGCTAAAGTTCAAAGTCACATGAGGACCTCCTCGTTTTTGATCTGAGGTTGTTTTCTGTCGCATTCCAAATCTGGCAGTTCGACAAGGGTTTGCCAGGAGAAAACAGGTCCCAAAGCGCCTCACGGCTGTGAATCTGTGAGCTATGAGATGTACAACTCAGAGCATTACTTGGACACTTGGCTCCATATGTGCCGGAGAGCTGGCCTGTCAGCCGGGCAAGCAGTCGCAAATTGGGAAGGCGCCTTGGGGCCTTTTGCCATATGGTTGTAGAAAAAGTGTCTCAGGGCAAAATGGCCAGCGTGCCGCATTTTGCCAGCAAGCAAGGCTCGTTTTGTGGCATGCACATGTGTCAGAGGCAATAACATGCCAAAGCATCTCTTTTTGCCCCCTGTGAATGTGAGTATTTACTGGAGTCTCTGAAGACAGCACGTGCATCGTTCCAACTTTGGTTCCGTATCCTATGACTATTGCTGGTGCATGCAGAGAGCCGATTCTGAAAACCAGTCCAGCTGCTGCTTGAATAAATCTAGTTACGCTTCAGCAGCTCACTTTCTTCAAGCCTGGTGCGGACGCACGTTATCATCTTTACAGGGGTGGGTCTTGTAGCAAGCAGTAGCTTACCAACAAGCAAACTACGCACTTTTCCAAATCCCGCCCAACATAATTTATCAATCCACTTACCAAAACCATATAATAATTAAAAAAAAATGTTTCAAGTTATTCATTTTTCAATAATAACTTAAACCATTTCAATTATCCTCAACCTCATTTTTTTAAAATTATCAATGTGCTTCTTTGTTTTTTCATGCCTCGCTTTATGTTTCAATCTAACCTCACAATCACAAACAGAGCACACAAATATTTTCATGCCATAGTCTTTATTTATTTCGCTTATCTCCTCTTTATGAGTATCTCTCCATGTCTGCGAGTAGATTTTCATTTTTTCTCTACACAAATCACAAGTTTTATGATTTTCCGAAAATAACCCCATCTTTCTATTCATTTTACAATGTGAACAATATTGTTTTTCTCCTTCTTCTATTTCTTTCTGTTGCTTATGCATCGCGTTTTTCAGTCTCTTTCTTTGGTCTTTCTTTTTCTGCTTTTCACGGCATCTATCACAAGTTTTACAACTTCCTGAAAATAAGTCTATTGCCTTATAACATCCACAACACGCGCAATATGTTCTTTCCATAATCTCTTACAATAATAAGCAATCTACCCTTTAAATAGTTTTAGACATGAAGCTCTGCCGAGTTCGTGAGGTTTCACGACACAAATAATATTTTTGCTCTGGGGTAAGACCCTCATAGGAAAAACCACCAAACAACAAACCACACAAAAAATCAAACAACCGACCATACAATAGATTTTTACAAATATATTGAATAAATCTAATAATCTTATCTTATCAATCTAAAACTATAACTTTAGAGCCTCCGGCTCAGTCCGCCGACATTGTCCTCTCCCTTTTCTCCTTCTTCCTCTCTCCCTTGTCTCCCTGGTGTGTTCTGTCGTCCTCTCTCCCTCCCTCCGCTCCCCATCCTCCCCATCCCCCCAAGCCACTCTCTCCCCAATCTCCCTCTCTCGTATGTATGTATGTATCTATGTATGTATGTATGTATGTATGTATGTATGTATGTATGTATGTATGTATGTATGTATGTATGTATGTATGTATGTATGTATGTATGTATGTATGTATGTATGTATGTATGTATGTATGTATGTATGTATGCATGTATGTATGTATGTATGTATGTATGTATGTATGTATGTATGTATGTATGTATGTATGTATGTATGTATGTATGTATGTATGTATGTATGTAATGTATGTAATGTATGTAATGTATGTAATGTATGTATGTATGTATGTATGTATGTATGTATGTATGTATGTATGTATGTATGTATGTATGTATGTATGTATGTATGTATGTATGTATGTATGTATGTATGTATGTATGTAATGTATGTATGTATGTATGTATGTATGTATGTATGTATGTATGTATGTAATGTAGGTAGGTATGTATGTATGTATGCATGCATGCATGCATGTATGTATGTATGCATGTATAATGTAATGTAATGTAATGTAATGTAATGTAATGTAATGTATGTAATGTATGTATGTATGTATGTAATGTAATGTAATGTAATGTAATGTAATGTAATGTAAAAGTAATGTAATGTAATGTAATGTAATGTAATGTATGTATGTATGTAATGTGATGTAATTTAAAGTAATGTAATGTGATGTTGTGTAATGTAATGTATGTATGTATGTCTGTATGTCTGTCTGTATGTATGTCTGTATGTATGTATGTATCCTTGCACTTCCCCTTTGCTCCCCAGTATTTCCCGCAAAAAAAACACGGTTTTTCCAGCGTTTTCGCAAAGAGGACGTCCAAAAACATTGAGTTTTTCCAGATTTTCGGCAAAAGGATGCAGGAAGCCCAAGCCAGCAAAAAAGCCGGCAGGGGGAATCGAGCCTGGGACCCCTGTTTTGCGACACCGGGTCCCCGAAGACTACGTTTAGTGGAACGTCATCAAATTGCCGCGCGGTCCTTGGGGGGGGGGGGCCCGCCCCCCCACGTATCAGACGTCGGGTGGGGGGGGGGGTTAGGGGGGGGGTTATCCTCTATCCTCTCTTAGGTGTCCGACACGCCGAGCAATGTCGGCGGATTTCAACATCTCATGCCTCAACAAAGACTTATTAAAATCACTAACAGAATAATATTTCTGTCCTAATTTAGTTTCTATTTTAGTTATTGTATGAGTTGTTTTAGTCCAGTGTGAGGTTTGTTGCTTTTCAGTTATTCCTTTTTTCCTTCTGATTTTAACTTTGTCTCCAACATCTAAATCTGGATATATCTGGATATGTGCGGGAATGTCTTGCTTTCATTGATATATTTAGTTTTACTTCAAATTCATTCTTTTTTACTTTTGCTTGTGCTGGTGTAAAACCGGTGCTTGTGTGCTTCAATGTATTATTGTATGTTAATAAAATTTCAACAATGTAGTCTCGCCAATCAATATCTTGTTTGTCTTTCTTTTCATCTGCTTCAACTCTGTTATACAGCATTCTTTTGAACGTTTTAATTGCTACTTCACTGAACGCTGCGTGGTTTCTTGTTGTGTAGTGTTCTATACCTTTCTCTTTTAGATAATCTTGTATAGATTTTGTATTTAATGCGCTTTCATCATCTGTAAATAATAATTTACAAAATCCGCCCATCTTTTTAAATCCTTCAACCAGTGCCATTGCTACATCACCTTCGCTTTTGCTTTTAATAGGTATTACAGTCATGTATTTTGAAAATACATCTATCATTAAAGCACCAACCTTCATTTTCTGATTAGGAATATCATTGATAAAGAATAAATCAGACTGGAATTCGTGAAATGCATTTGGCGGTATATATGAATTATGCCCTCTTGGTTTTGTTTTGATTTCGATATTTTTATCGAAAAAATCGTCTATATCAGCCTTGGTTATTGACTTATCTTTTTCTCTACTTTCTTGCAGTGTGCGCTGTTTAGACCCATAACCGCTTTTTATCATAATAAATATCACTAATTGTTTTTGTTTATCCATATAATAAATTAAGATTTATTGTATTGATAATATTATTTATAATTTAAATTCAGGATAAGAATTTATTTGACAAATCTTACATATTTCATACATCATTTTAAAAATAATATTAATATCTCTCACTGTATTTTGAACATTAAACTTTTTACTTTCAATAAATAATTTGATATTTTCTTTAACATCTTCTCCTTTCTCTTGACTATAACCCAACATCCATAATATATCATAAATCATGTCATATTTTTCTTACTGATTTTAAGAAAGTGTTTAACATAATCGTAAGGTGGTATTTTATTTACAGTTAGAAATATTAAAATCTCATCTTCTACATTTCTATTATGTCTCCCTTTTATTCTCAACAGACATTTGATTAAAAATTGATTTTCCCTCCATTCCTGACAAATTTTACATTCATCTTCTTTACCCAAAGCATAATCAATAATATTATTAACTATTCCATTAGGTAAATTCATTTTGTATAATTCCATATGTTCTTTTTTGAAGTGGCAACAGTCATAGCATTTCTTATTGATATAATTATTTACTTCTTGTTCCTTCATTACTCTCTACTATATATAGGTATTATTTCTTTAAACCTTTTTTAGTCAAAAACTAAGATTTTAATATAAAACATATTAAAATCTTAATGAGCTGAAACATTACAATATACACAGAATGAAGTTGAATTATCTATATGGTGGGCGATTGAATTATCAAGGCGCTGACAAGTAAAATTGCTACATAATTTTCCCTTCTTTGTTTCAAAGTTAAATGAAGTATTACACTTTTGGCATCTGGCGCGAAACTGTGATAAACACCATTCGGCAGTTATGTATTCTTCTTCATGTATTTCCCGGTGAGCGCGACGGTCTTGTATCTTATAATTTTCTACTTTGTTTTTAAAGTATCTCATTATCATATTTTTATCCATGTGCTTATCAAACTCTGGATTGAAATAAAATTTAACCTTTCTGAAATCAACACATCTTGTAATCGCCGTCCATAAAAACTCTCTACTTACAAAAGGCAAGTTGAATTCATGTATTGTCATGCTTTCTTTTACACTTGCTCCCTGTGATGAGTGAGTAGTGGCACAGTATGAATATATAAAGTTAGCATCAACCACAGGTTCAAATAACATAAATTCATCTTCTTCATTTGCTATGTTTTGTAATGTTATTTGTTTTCCTAATTCATCATCTTCTATATTTGTAATCCTGTATGTTAAATTTATATTAACTCTGGGTTGTTTAATCCACTTTCTGGCAATTAAAATATCGCCCACTACATATTTAGCATTTTTGTTTAACCTCTCTCTGATTTCACTTGCTACATTTCAACATCTTATATTAGTATAAGCAATGTTATGCTCTGATGCCATTATATCATCAGTGATTTCAATATATTTGGGTATGATGTCATTTATTGGCAATGTATTTTCCCAAAAGTCAGCATACATATCATTAATTATTGCTCTGTTTCTTTCTCCTTCTTCACTATCTTTTGCACCTACTCTTTTACAAATTGTTAAGAGGATGTTGTATTTAAAGGTTGTATCCAAACAATT